AAATGCTGAATCTATTTGTATCTATTACTTGGCAAGTATAAAATATTTATTTGCTACCATGGTTAAAGTACCAGACGTATTGGTTAACCAGGCTCAAAGTTATATTGTATCATCATGCTTTAATAATGTCTTGTATTTTAAAATGTGGTATAAATCTCATGATTACAAATTTTTTATTTTAGACACATTCACAACAAAACTTAAAAAATTAATCTTCTCTGTGTTTTTATCAATATTTCACAAATCAAGGAACTGCTATTGGATTTTTATTAAATTTCATACTGGGGCGTTTGCTACAATTTATTAATACATTCCCTTCTGGTTAAAGTTCCTCCCCCTTTCTGTGAATGTTATCTGTTACTCACGTGAGGAGGAAGAGATAATAAAATTCTCCGTTGCATCCTTTGAATCTCCTCGATGACATGTTCCATGCTCTCTGGTATCGTGAAACTCATCTGATACAGAAGACCTTCTTGCAGGCAGTCTGACTCATATGGTAACCCAGTTGCCATGGCCTCCTTTATGAAATACAGAGCATCTTCTGCAGCGAGAGTTTCATTGTCCTTTGCCGTGTCCCTGCAGATATGCAGTCCTAGCACCCAGGAAGGCGGCAGAACAGGGTGTAGTCCATCAGCTGAGGTGTACTGGTGCATCACATCTGCAGGAGTAGGACCTGCGAAGACACTAAAATCCCACCTCACCGTGGAAAGAGATTTCACTATCAGAAGATTAGAGTTTTCCAACAGCTGGAACTCTAGCGGTCCCGTGCTGTTAAATAGGATTCCGTAGGCACTTCCATCAGTTTCGACGACTATGATGAAAGGGTTGGCACTGAGTCTGTGCCCACTGCTGTATAGGAGTTTGGGTTTTGAAGAAAGTCGTACGCCTCCCAACCCAAACAGAGCAGCTTCCTTTGGGAACTGCAGTGACAGCTCCCAGTAATTTTCACTGGCAATCACAGGACCTCGTGAGGTACTAAAGAGGAGTGAGCTGCTATCCTCTTGGCGATATATTTGCAATGAGTAATATTCTGGACCATATACTTCTGCTCTGAATCTCGATGAGTTCAGTGGGATTCTTTCTGTGTCTTCTGGTTTGTCTGTCTCACTGTAGATGTACAACCGGAGGTGGTCTGCTGAGGTGGCTACCACAAGGGTATGGAGTAGCCGCTCTACAGGTCTGCCATAAGGTGAAGTCTCCATCCGGCTTGTGAGACTCAGGTTCGCTGTCTCCAATTCATTGACTGCCCACTTGTTGTTCTTCCAGTCCTTGACGCTGTAGCTGTACTGGGAGGGAATCGAATGGAAGCATGCTAGGTCGATGCCATTCCAGCAGCAGCTAGCTTGCAGACACGCTGTCTCAGTTTTTTCTGTCGCACATGGAACCCTGCACCAGATATATCACATAGTGGGAGTGATGTTTATTCTTATTACTGCTTCATTATCAAACTTTTCTCGTTATGTATAGTAGTCAAGACGCTGAACCTTGTCATTTCAATTACACTGAAATGTACTAGTCACAAATGTGGCTTATGTCTAAAGTAACTAATTTTTAGATTGTCTTACTGTAGATTTATAATGTATGATTGCTACTTAACTTTGTTTCCACATAACCTAAATATTTTACATAAACCGAATATGCATTATATCTTTTCAGAAAATGTCGTGCTGTGGTGCAGATGCATTACACAGCAATAAGATGCTGTTCTTCTACCCTCAGGATTTACTTTGAAGATTTACAAATGTCACAAATTATAATGTTTACCTGTGATCAGCCTTCACATTGCATGTCCATGGCTCTGGCTGGAACTCAGGGTTGTTGGAGAAGACAGCGAAGAAGGTGACGACAGGAACAACCACTGCCAGCACCAGGATCACGCACGTGTAGCAAGTTCGCATTGGAGTGCACAGGGAATCTGCAGACAGGCACAGGAAAAGGAATCTGACTTACTAACACCCTGGTAGCAGAACCTGAAAGTTCAACGTGGCAACGGCAGTGAGTCACCAAGATAACTTTTAGGTTATGGTCTCCTGGACTGTTACGTGTTCTTCAAAATCTACCTTCAGGAAACAACACCTTATGGGCTGGTCCATATCTATCTGTCCATCTCATGTTTAGGCAACAAAGAGATCCAAGGGTTGCCATTGCTGCACAACAATTGCTTGGGATTGCATCAGTGCAAGAGTGACCTAAGATACAATGCTAACTTTGGGTAACGTTGGTGCTACAATGACCTATGTCATATGGTGTGTGGGGATGTGGAAACAGATCTACTCGTTCTTAACCTGGGCACTAGATGGAGGTTAGCGTCTCAGTCCCTGATGCCCATTGAATAGGAGGTCAAGATGTGGTGGCAAAGAGAAAAATCCGTTCTCCTGCGTGGACTGTTACGGATTTTCACTTTCTGATACATAACGTGTAGGCCTACTTACTCTGCTGTGGTCTCGGCACCAGCTCCTCCTTGTCCAGGGGGGCTTCATAGTGGGAGGAGGGTTCTTCCCCGTGTCCCTCCTGAATATACACAGTTTTTTGTAGCTTCATGCGGCCACAGCTGTGTTACCTAATGTGAAAAAACACCACGATCTGCGTATAATCTTTACATAAACGTTCGAACGTAGATTAGGCTCACATATGTTTTCCAGATTTGTGACTTTCGAGTTTGCATACCTTGTTGGGCCTTGATGTTAATTAATTTCTGACACTAATCTCTTCAAGGGACAGATAAAATGATTTATTTTTCATATCACTGGATGTGTAAGTCTAATTACACTGGTAGTCTGTATATTGTGTATATGACAACTCCCTTAAACAGGCTGAATATCCTTTGACCAATTCCAAGGTCTGTTTTATGTCTTTCGGTTTCAAAATCCTGTCACCACTCATTTATCTGACGTAATATTTCATTATTTTCCCCTCTGCTTAGCACATCTTTCATATTCGGAATGAAGATTCCTAGATTTTTCAAGTTTACCCTGACTTTACCTTTGTTCCTGGTTGTAGAGGTACGTGTACGTTGTCTTGGGTTCAGATTTGTACACCTGGTGAATCCCTGTTTGCTCACTTCCGTTCCATCTGACACTCCAATTTATCTCTTATCAGTTCCTCTGTTGTTATCTCTCCTGATAAACAACGACGTACTATGCAGGGTAATACCAAATTAAATGAGGCGAAATAGCAAACAAAGATATTTATAATTAATTGTGACTTCACCTTGAAACAGAGAGTTACAGGAAATCTGTTTCCTGAAACTCATTTATTTTATAATTAACCTATGGTTTTATTCGTACCTGAAGATGAAGGCGATACGTTCACGGAAACGTCGATAACACCTCCAAGATTTCGCTGTGCTATAACTCAAAAGAAGACAATTAATGGCCCAAGTTTTAATAATGCTAAGGTTGTATAGTCGTCTGTCCAAAATTTCAAGTCATTTGTATTTCCCAGTAAAACATGACTTATGACGGCGTTTGCAGCTGATGGGAATTCAGCGCTGCGTAAGGAGATATGACAACAAAATATCCCACATCAGCGGGAAGTATTCTACGTAGTCCGTCGTAACGTGTGGAGACTGTTCCCGCGTCTTGTTACGATATATGTATGTGCTTTAATTTCAGTTATTATGCATAATGCAATTGAGCACTGTACTGAAACATTTGACAGTTAAAAGCAGTCAATTTCTGTCGTTTTTAAGGCTGTGACTTCAAACGATTAGTTGCAGTTTATTCTAGTGGTGCCAGGAATTGTTATTTGTACATGCATAAACCACACGTAAGAATTCAAACTTGCATATTATGAGATACTACGTTTGTTTCAGTATGACCATTGTACTCTTATGTTAGTTCGTTTCAGTGTTTCTTTATATTCGCCATGGATTGAAATTTTGTTGGATTGGATGATGGGTTCGTTGAGAAACACAGATTTTTGTATATAATTGAAAGTGAAACCAATAGTTTAGTGGATGAAGTAGGTATGAGTTCTTTGGATGATGTTTAATCTTTCACTCTTTTAGAGTATGAATCTCAAAAGCTGCTGGTGATCCAAAGTGTATCCCTTTCCATGTGTTAACTATGTAACTTGGGTATGTAAAATCTAGTGTTCTGACTTTAAGGGGAATGTTTGGTGTTATGTGTTCTGCATGCATGAGTAAGTGCTGCTGGAATTTAACTTGGAGTAGTTTGCTTTCAGATGTCTGAGGAGAAACTGGTTACTCCAGAGGAATTTCCCTTCCCTTTCACACCTTACTCAATTCAGTTGGATTTTATGAAGCACCTCTATAGAACTCTGGAAGAGGGGAAGTTAGGGATCTTTGAGAGTCCCACAGGAACAGTTAAGTATTCTTATTTGCATATTAATTTGTAAGACTTCTTTTCTGAAATATTTGCTTGTATTATGAGATATATTAACATGTTGAAAGAGAGGGTAAAATGCAGATTAGGTTATGTTGCTCAGCATCCATACTCTACTTCAGTGTTTTCCAACCTTTTTTCCATGGAGGAATCCCCAAAATAGTTTTTCATATCCTGAGGAACCCCTACCTATAAAAATGTTTACAGGTCAGAAAAAGTTGATAATGGGGAGTGCAATTCAATTACTGCTAAATTATTGTCAAGAAACACACGTAATGAATTGTGTGTTCCGCTGTCCTGTATTTAACATGAAAGAGACTAAATGTGGTGTGGTATGTATTCATTGATGTAAATAATAATGTTCAATTCTAGGGCAAGTCCCTGAGCCTAATTTGTGGTGCACTGCGCTGGTTATCGGACCACGAGGACAGGATACGACGGCAGCTCAGAACGGCCATCGCCCAGCTGGATGCAGTGGCTAATAATAATGATGATGGTGGTGATTTTGATTGGTTAACCCAGCAGGCACAGCACGTGCAAGTGACACAGCAACGGTACCAGTTGCAGCAGCGACTGGACAAGATTCTGCGCAGCGATCAGAAATTGGAACAGTTGCGCAAGCGCAGAGAGAAGGTGCCCCTGATTAATACAAAGCACGCTATGTAAGACTTCTAAGCTTAGATATACCGACCATTTGAAGATGAAGTAAGTTCTTGCCTCAAAATACAAACTGTTTCCATTACAGGGATCAACTGGATAACGCTTTAAAGGGTTAAACATGCGTGATCGTATTGTATGTATCTTCATACAAGTCGCCGGAGCATATTTTTTCTATTACGCGTTTGTTTGTTAACATGACTGAAGTTTTCGTATGTCGTAGAAATTGGAGCTGCGGTCAGAGAACTCTGCACAAGCAACGAAGCAGAGAGATGTGGGCGATGAGCCGCCTGAAGCCGACACTGATCTGGAGAACGATGCCGACATCTTGCTGGAGGAATGCTGTGATACTGACAACACACAAGACTCTGATCCAGAGCCAGAAGAAGAAGAAGAAGAGAATTACAGAGGCGTGAAGGTAATGTTGAGTCGTGTGTATGTCGTCAATTGTATCTCTTTATGTGGTTTACAATGCAAATTAAACCGTTTAGCCAGTAGCCAGAGAAATGCTTATACATGCTAAAGAAAGTGTTATATAGTTAGTATCGATTTCTTTGTTTGTAATTTATCCATTGTCCGTATTTCTACAAACGGAACGCTGTGTTTTGGGAATTTGGTCTGCGTCCATCTTAGGTGACTAGTTCCTACTCATTTTGGGTCTTTTATAGATGGTAAATCCCATTTAGACATTAAGACCAAGCTCTGTCTCTGAGAGATTAAAGCATGTCCGCAGAAGCATTTACTGGAGATGCAAGTCTTCGGAATGTCACAGTTCTTATTATATAATTTACTTCTGTTTCACCCACGCTTCACGCTTGAAGTAACTGAATACTTTATGCACACTCTTTGAAGCTGATTGGCTTGCAAGGGCAGTAGATGTACTGAAGTTTCCAAAACTCGGCTGTTGTCGTTCGTGTCAGTCGTTTGGGGAGGATGAACGTGCTTAGCGCTTCTGCCTCCACCTACTCAAGTATCTCTTTATGCCCCTTGCAGCATACGTTATGGAGTCGTAAGTGTTTATCGCTGGCGAAGGATATCGCTATTAACACTCAGAATGGTTAGACAGCTGGGAGGTTGTTCCGGGGTGGGGGGGAATGCATTAGACTTCTTTCTGCAGGTGAAGAGTTCCTCATTATGTGATGTTCTCTATTCCCTTTACTAGTTAATGGTACAAATTTTTCAGTCATCTTGTATAACAAATACAGCAGCAGAAGCCTGTGTAATTACTAAAGCCGTGTGGTGTTTTGTGTAGATATACTTCTGTAGCCGCACACACTCGCAGCTTGCGCAGTTTGTTGGGGAGGTGCAGCGTAGTCCGTATGCACAGAACATTCGCCTCGTTTCATTGGCCTCCAGGCAGAATTACTGCATCAACAAGACTGTGCAGAAACTCAAGAGTCTCTCCCTTATAAATGAACGGTAAGTTCTGCTCTTGAGATCCGTTTTGTTGGTGTCGTCAGTTACTGACGTCTATCGGCAGCCTTGAAAATTAAATATTTGGAGCCTTGAAGCTCATTCTAGTGTCATTTTAGCTGTAATTTTTACCTTTAGAGTCAGGTGTCTTGCATATAAACTACTTTTTTAAAAAAAAAACCAAATGTGATGGTAAGGACGTGTAGGACAAATAGGGGAGATGAGAAATGTGCAAACCATTTTGGTTGGAAAGCTGTAGGTGAAGAGACCGCTTGGAAGACCTAGGCATTCATTAAAGGATAATATTAAAATGCATCTTAGGGAAATAAGAGTAGTGGGTGTGGATTGGATTCATTTGGCTCAGGATGGGGACTGCTTGTGAGCTGTTGTGAACACAATCATGAGCCTACACGTCCCATAAAAGGTGGGGAATTTCTTGATTGGTTGAATGTGCTGTTAGCTTCTCAAGGACTCTACTCCAGAGAGGAAGACTGTGAAAAGCCTGAGTCAGAATAGTCATTCATGAGGCTTAGACTTGAACCTTGGTCCTCCTAAATATGAAGCAGCAGTTCTAATTACTTCATTGTAACTTCCGGTACAGTGTAGTGAAGGTTCTTGGCCATCACAAAAGCCTGCCTGCCATTGGATGAAATTTTGAACCATTAAAATTAGTTATAATTTTGGATTTTCAGGTTGGGTTGAAGCTATACAAAATTCTGCGTAGAACTCGAACCTTAAAAGCCTGAAGACGAGTTAAAACTAGGGTTAGATAAGTTCACAATTGCTGTACGTTTCTAGGTGTACCGACCTGCAGCGTCGGAAGAAGGGTCAAGTTACCGTAACAGATAGCTCAGGGAAGGCGGTGAAGAAGTCTCGTGGTTCTTCTGGTTGCCCCTATCTTCAACCGAGGGCGGTGGAGGGGCTTCGAGATGAGGCGCTGCTAGAGGTGCAAGATGTGGAACAGCTGGTGACTGTAGGACGGCAGCTGTCGGCATGTCCGTACTACGGCTCCCGGGCGGCCGTGGGTGATGCACAGGTTTGTAATTGCGTCTTTCGGTTGCTCTAGCAACTTCTGCTAAAAGATTTATGTTAGTAGGACAAATAATATTGTTCTCTCATTAATTTAAATCGGAGAATGTCCTGTTGAAGCACCAACAAAACAAATGAAAAGTGTAATAAAGGATTTATTTAGTAGAATGAGAAGGAACTGGAGATATTAATTCATATTTGTATTCCATATGAACTTGTTCAGCAGTTGGCATTGAGTTAAAATGTAGACCGATACATTTTTAAAAACTGGAGTTTTATAAATATTCACTAAACTCTGAGTAAGCCTTTACGTCAGAGGGGAACTTTTTGGTTAGCTAAGTAACTGTCAGCTGCCATGTCATAGAATTAATATCTTGCATTTGCATGTTTGGGAAAGTATAAAGCTTCTATTTACACAGTAGGTTAGTCTGAAAAGAACACCACGTGAATGAAGAGCCGATTTTCCGTAAGAGAGTTGAGCAGGTACTGATATTAATTAATTCAAAACGTTTATATAGTATCTAATGTTGTGTTAACATTTTAGGAGGCATTGTCCATCTCAACGTCACACCATCGTCTGCCATGTTACCTGTCATTTACCATGTAACTGCTTAAAATTAGAACCAGAAATAATGTAAATGAATAGTTCTTTAACGGACCGATGTCTGTGCCGTAACACTTCACAGTTTGATAACGTGAAGCGATTCTTTACTTGCTTAGGTAGTGGTGGTCCCTTACAACACCTTGCTCCATAAGAACACTCGCAAGGCATGTGGCATTAACCTGGAAGGCAGTGTAGTCGTCATTGATGAGGCACACAACTTGCTGGATACGATCAGCCACATCCACAGTGCTGAGGTGACCGGACATCAGGTAAGGACAACTGCGTGAATGTCACAAGGCGAGATTATTTGTGTTCTGTCCCGATTTTTCCCCTCTGCTGACCAGTCCTGCAGTTATTGAGCTCAATATTTGTCTATATACCGCTTCTTAGTATGCTCATTTAGTTGTACTTATCATTTTACCTTGAAGATAGAGGTGTTATGTGCCTTGGGCATAAGTTTAGATGTTTGTGTTTGCCTCGCAGTTTACACTTCTTCTTCTATGGCTCTCCGGTGGGGGCATGACTTTAGATGTTTGTGTTTGCCTCACAGTTTACACTTCTTCTTCTTCTATGGCTCTCTGGTCCGTATTCGGTCCATGGCCTCCTTTCGGTCCTCCGTTAGGTCTGTCTGTCCGAGGCTTTGATCGTGGTTTCGAAACATCTTCCTTTTTACGGTGCAAGGTTGTTAGCCTTGTGACCACCCCCCAACCTGGAGGACCAGGATACCTGTCTTAGTCCGACCTCTCCCCCTCGACCAATCTGGCTAGGGAGGCCCTACCAGTAGCTCTTGGGGTCACCGAGGCACTCAAGCCCCACCACCACGACAAGGTGCAGGTACCATTAAGTGAGGTGCAGTTTTCACTGATGACATAAATTTTGTTTATAATTTCTAAGCTGCATGTACTTTATTGACTGCTTCCATTAGGATATATAAGTATCAAGTATCAAGCTTCATATTCAGGTTTGTCACAGTTTCGCAAGGCAATTGCCGGTACCGTAGCTCAGCATACGTTGTGAATGCTTCGGTCCGCTTATTTTGAAATCCATCGTCCGAGATCATAATTTTATAAGAATCAAATAAGATGTGCATGTCGACTGAATGTTTGTTTCAGCTTACACATGCTTACAGCCAGTTGAACCAGTATCAGGATCGCTATAGGAGCAGGTTCAGTGCTGCCAACCTGCTTTACCTAGGCCAAGTCATCTTTGTTGTTGGCAGACTTATTCGAATGTTGGGTGAGTAATTCAGTCAAGCAGAGAGATCTGACAGATCATGAATTAACAATTTTTTGTGGCCAGTCCTTGCATCTTCCATTAGCCCCAGGTAATTACTTGTTAGTTAATCTGATCCTAAAGATTTTATACTACGAAACGTGCTTTATCATGCTTCTTCGTTCATTTTATCATGAAGCCGTAGCAATGTTGGATTACCCAGTTACGGCCAGTCTGTACGATTAGAGTAGCGAAGATTTGAACCGTGTGCTTTGTGAATATAAGCCGGACGCCGGTTGTTCCGTTACCAGGTGGCAAGCCGGGATGCAGCCCCGTTGATAGCAGCCTGAAGGGTGTGGACACGAAGCTGTACACGTTGGCCGAGTTTGTGCTGTCAGCAGAAATAGACAACATGAACTTGTATAAGCTGGTGAAATTCTGTGACAGCAGTAAGATTGCCCAGAAGGTATGAGACTGAACTACGTTGGAAGCAGGGGTGACATTTTGATGGAGAGACTGAGAAAATTCCTGAAAAGCCTCAGTCAGATGGTCACTAACCTCACAAGATTCAGATTGCCTGTTTTCCAATTACAAGTCTACGCAGTTCCTGCCACACAAATTTGCTCAGTGTGACAAAATATGCCTCATAAATATATGTAACTTTTTTCGAAAAATTTCTTTGTTGCGTAAATTCCGCCTTTATCAAACGTGGGTTTAATGGTTCAGCTGTGTGCTGGTGACACGTACCCAGTTGGACTGTACGTAAGCTGTGATACGCAGCTGATAAAAAATACATTTCTGACAGCAGAAACTTCATCTCAAATGAGAGAAATCTGCAGTTTTCACTGTCTTGAACTGTGTGACTTGAGAAGATAACAGTGTTCCGAAGTAATCAAGAAATTAACTGTATTTTATGAAACTCAAAAGTTCATTACTTTGTTCAGAAAAGATTGCTGCTGGTCCCTACCCTGAGCCAGATGAATCCGATCAACACCTCCAAACCTTAGTTCCCTAAGATTCATTGTAATATTATGCGCCCATCTAGGCCTAGGTCATGTGTGTTTTTCCGCCCTTCAGGATTTCAAACCAAAATTTTGTGTGCGTTTCTCATCTTTGTCATGGACGCTACAATGTTGTTAGCTTGGCATTTTCTGCTCATAGCTTCATGGATTTGCTGAGCGTTATCATCCAGCAGTCGCAGTAAACAGCGCTATTAAACGAGAACAAGAAAAAAAGGGCATAATGGCATTCCTCAGAGAAATCTCTGTTGGCAATGTCTCTGCACCCAAACAAGGTATGTGAGATGGCATTTGATTCAGATAATGAACTGTTATTTCTAGGTCCATATAGTCAAGGCTCCATTATAAGATGATGGTATTTTACAGTGATTTGTTAGCCCCCTGCCCAACCACCCCTTGTCAGCTATCAGCAACTGCTTATTCAGTATATTCACACCAACCCCCATTTATTTGGGCCTTAGAACCATATTTTCTGTTGTTTTCAGTTCTAATCGATGTGACCAATGTGTCAGTACAGTGTGTGTGTAGTTCTGTTATCAGCATTATTTAACGTCTGTTATGTTGGCAGACACTGCCCCTGCAGCATCTGCCCCAGAACCCATCCTGAGCAATAACCCCTTGCTCTCTGTGCTGGGTTTCATGGAGGCTCTTACAAACCACTGTAGTGATGGGCGTGTTGTGTGCAGCAGGAAGGCGACAGTGGGGTGTGGCACTCTCAAGTTCCTCCTGTTGAACCCAGCTTCTCACTTTTCCAGCATCGTTAAGGAGGCAAGGTACCCCAGATTCTTATCTGAAGTCGCCCTCCCGTTGAACCGTGACACTGCATGTCCTCGTCTGCTTTCCGTCACGCAAGACCAAAACTTGCGTGTCTTGAAATGAGGTTCTCTGTTCAGATGTTCAGGATCTATTTGGTGTCAGTGGATAATATTAAAAGAGAAATTAAATAAACCAACTTTAACTCTGAAGGCGACGAAATATTAAATGGGAACTCGCCCCATTTGGAGATTTCGCAACATCGCGACATGTATTACAGGGCGGTGGTGGTGGCCGGCGGCACGATGCAGCCGCTGGATGAGTTCAGGGTCCAGCTGTTCAAGTCAGCAGGGGGAACAGATGAGCGACTCACCGAGTTCTCCTGCGGCCACGTGATTCCTCCAGAGAATATCCTGCCCATTGCCTTGGCTGCTGGCCCTTCGGGGAAACAGTTGGACTTCTCGTATCAGGCTCGCACGATGCTGGCGATGGTGAGTGAAGACGCGTGTTGGTTGATGTGGAGACACGTGGAAAGTTACGTGGTTACACCATGAAACTGTTGTTTATTTACTTTCAGCTGAATGAGCTGGGAAGAATCCTAACAAATGTCTGTAATGTTATACCTGCCGGAGTCGTGTGCTTTTTCCCATCGTACGAATACGAGAAACTCGTGTTTGAGCATTGGGAGAAGAATGGAGTTATTTCAAAGTTGGAAATTAAGAAAAAGGTTGGTTTCGTGTTCCTAATAACAGTGAAATATTTTCTTTCTTTCTTTCTTCATTCTCTTTACTCTGTCTCATCTGTTTAGTGCGTTATTGTCTCCTTCAAGAATTCGTAGTACATATAATTATCCAATATTTGTTGCTGTAAACTGTGACAACAGTCAAAGATAATATTGAGCTGAAAGGTCAAATTATACCGCATTCTGTTTGTTGACTCCACATTTCACCCATCTTCTGTGTAACGGTACAAATACGATCTAGTTTGATGATTCTGCAGGTTTTCCGTGAGCCAAAGAGGTCTGGCTTGGTAGACAAAGTGTTACATGAGTACGCAGCTTGTATTGGCAGACCAGGATCAAGTGGAGCAATAATGTTCAGTGTTGTTGGTAAGTCTTGTAGATATCGGAATTGTCGGTACGTGCGCGACTGATGATGAAACCGTAGTAGAAGTTGCGCGCCTTACAGAAGGAGACCGAGCGTCGTTGCCGGGCGGTCAGAACCGCATTCTATTTGGGAGATCCAAGGGTTGAAATTTTATCCCGTAGACTGGCTTTCTGACTGAGGTTTTCTGTTGTTTTTCTCAGCCCCCCCCCCCCCCCCCCCAAGGAAAGTGGCAGGATAGTACATTAAACTCGGCTGTGAACGCTTCCTTCCACATCCTTTCCAATTCATTATTCACCGTCATCTTCTCATTCAACATTGCATAGTCTGAGTTACTGAAAGAGCGTTGTCCGCCACTTTCAGAGTCTTTGATGCTCAGGGTCCGCGTAATATCAGCTCGAGAGTCCGGTCCTGGTATGGGAGCGAGGCTGTCTCTTGACAGCAGCCGAGGTGCGATCGTGTGATATGCCGTTCTTGCAGGTGGAAAGCTGAGTGAGGGCCTGAACTTCAATGATGATTTGGGTCGCTGTGTGATTGTGGTTGGCATGCCGTACCCAAACATCAAGTCACCAGAGCTCCAGGAGAAGATGAACTACCTCAATGCTAATGTTGTAAGTAACAATTGCCTGTCATAGTTAATGTGGGGTAGATATTAGTGACAGTATGCTGCGAAAATCATTAGAATTGGCGATCGTGGTTGCCGTCTGTACCCTTCTCGGTTAGCCTGAACCCCAGAAACCGCGCACAGTGTTCAGCTGACAATATTGCTGCTTAACATCATTACTTGAGATGGATAAATGTCATGATCCAGTACCAGCGTATTCGCACAGAATGAAAGTTCACCACCCGCAGATTTCAGTAGAACTCACTTTAAGCAAATTCTTGCTCAACGTTCAAGTCTTCCGTCACACATAATTTGTCTGACTTTGTTTGAATAAAAATTGACTTTGTACACTCTTTTTTTTGTAGCAGGATTATCCAAATAATTGAATTTACAGTTAATATTTTTTCAATTCAATAAAATCTTTTTTGAGTGCTGTGTAACTTGTATTACGATGTCACTGAAATTTATGCCTCTCGGTAAAAGTCAGTCCGCACTTTGGTTGAGAGAATCAGCCGTGGAGCGTCGTCGTGTTACAGGGTCCCGCAGCCGGACAAGAGCACTATGAGAACTTGTGCATGAAGGCAGTGAACCAGTCTATAGGACGGGCCGTGCGACACAAGAACGACTATGCCGCCGTCCTCCTCCTAGACCATCGCTACGCTCGGCCGCACACGCGGGCCGCGCTTCCGGGCTGGATCAGGGCCTCTCTGACCTCACACGCCAAGTTTAGTCCAGCTTTTGCATGTCTCAACAAGGTGAGTTCATATCCGTCGTCGGTGGTTGGAGAACGCGGAAGAAAGGCCGGCACTGTCGTAGCGCGTCAGCTTTAAGGAAGTCTGAGGGTGTGGTTAGATGCTGGCTTCTTAAAGCAGAGACCCAGGTTCAGTCAGATTGATTCACGTGGAATCTATACTGACCCTAGAGCTGTTTAAAACTAGTTTTGTGCGACAGTCGTTGTTTCGTTTTGCCCCATTTCTGTTGCTGCCCTCCGTTGTAGCTTTCTCATGCTCGAAACGTCAGCTCGAACCTGTAATTTTACTGCGCTGTTAAGGAGTCTGTCAGTGAGCAGGAATATCCCCACATAAACCTGACGAGGGATCCTTTTTCTTTGTTTATTTATTTTGTTTCTTTCAAACCTGACGGGGGATCAAAGCCAGGATCCTCTGATTGAGAGTAAAGTGTCTTACTGCGAGACGACCATTCCTCATTATTTATTTATTTTGTTTCTTTGTTTATTTATTTTTGTTCTTTGGTTGGTTTTATTTTAGTTTTTTGCTGCTCGAAAGCCAAAGTAAGCGTGAGACGTCTGCGTCTTGCAGCAGCAAGGATTTACAAGGAATTTCAAGACGTGGCAGAACTGTTGCGTCGTAATGCCTTGCGTTTGTACCGTCACTGTCACGTTTTGCTCCTTCCGGAATGACCTGCTTGAAGGTCATTTTGCCCTTGACTGAGATTATAATTATTATATTATATTATGTAATTTCTGGCTAGAAGATATTTATTTAATTGAAATTCTTGTTACCATCGATCGAATTTGTGTATATTGAAACTGTAATGCCTTTTTTCATTATTAAGCCTCTGGTAAATAAAGTCATGCCTTTCGTAAATTATATTTACCAAGGGTCTTTGTACCTTTTTGAAATTTCATTGATCCTAAACACAAATTCCCCAGTTCATCGCAAAAACTGTTCTTGTCGCACAAGAATTTTTTAAGCCTTTTCAGTGATACGATCTTTATCTTGCAATAATTGGTGGCCGACTCTTTCATTTGAAGATGGCTGTCTTCTGGGATGATGTGCGTTGTAGGTGGATAGAAGTTTAATGATGTGTGTGAGGTTCTCGCTGCCTCCGTAATCTGGGTGATGAGTTCAAATGCTGAAGTAAATCTGCTTCCAGTCCCTGATGATGGACGCTGCAAGAACCTATGAAACAGTGGTAAACTTTTACCAGAGTACACGGCATTACATCACAGAAGACATTTGTCTTCATATTTGCGGGTATAATGAACCAGTGATGACAAATTGTTATGTGTTTAGGGCCATGGCGACTTGTCGAAGCCATGGTAAATTTGTCAAGACTAATTTATACGACGTCTTAGGTCTTTAAAAATGCAGAAAACTCTTATAATGCGTCCCACGAGCACCAGATTACGATTCGATATCGAATTTCAATTTTAGTTGTGCCCTAAGTTACGAGCTCCTTAATGTGAACCAAATTAAACTAAAGAAAAAATTTAGCGTAATATCTAGTTTAATCCATTTTGTTCCGATGTTCTTTTTGAAACGAGCCGAAAATAGAAAGCAGGCTATAAAATATTGACTGTCCGCAGTTTTCTATTCCTGACGCAGTGGATGGGGGATCGACTGTATTCTGGAACTTAACAATCTCGGCCATCTTTAATTAAAGATTCCACCGACCACCAGTTTCACAGCCGATGTTAATGGACGATAACAAGATTTGCTGAACAGCGGTCTCCATCATTGATGTACACGTCTAAACTTTTTTAATAACTCGTCATTCTTTATAGCATCTACTTTGTAATGGTGTCATTGTTTACACGCAAAAATACTTTACATCGGTATTTTCAGTGTTCGAAAGTTTCATTTGTTTATCGTATTACTGCATTATGCAATCAAAGAATGTTTGGTTAAAATGCCATATTTTCAAAACCTGAGGAGAGTGTAGTTTCTAAAGAAAATGTTTATTGGAATTATATAAATAAAAATGTAGATGTTTTGCCCGCTTAAACTTGATTTATCCGCGAATTCTACATTTATAAGAACGTCTTCCATTTTAGCGAATTCTGCCCAATGTGAAGACGCACATCACTGTGCTACGACGCCATGTTTGGGGTCACCAGTTTATACGTAAGCGCCAGTAATAATATTAAAATAATTTAATCTACAACTTGTTAGATTCAGATTAAACACAAACATGACAGAAAGAAATCAAGGACACGTGAAACCATGGTTACGATAAATCGGCAGCGAGCCCGAATGGGTCAACAGTCAAGTCATCCGTTCGTGGCCCAAGCGTTCCGTAGTTTTGGCAGATTCACAAAAAAGTCGCCCGCCGTCCAAAATGAAGGCTCCTTTCTGGCGGCGCCGATGCTGGAATCGATAGCATAATGGCGGCGACGTGGCTACGCCGGAGGCCGGGATCCATCAGACGCAACAATGACAGGTCGCCTGCTGCTCGTCTGCATTGTCGCTGCGCTGTCGGCGGCTGGAACTGCCTGGTGTAAGATCAGCGTCAGAGCGTGAGTGTCGCTTCTACTCCGATTTAGCAACTCCCCCTGCGTATTGTTTAATTTAAGGTTTTTTCTAGCGTATTGTATTCCTAACACTTCCTGCTTAATACTTAATAATTCCATCTGTTTTTGTTGTTATACTTCTCATTGTTGTACTTAATTATTTACTTACTTATTGTTGCAATTGATAATACTTTTCACTCGTTGTTTTTTATAATACTTTGTCCTCATTGTTGTATTCAGCGGCAGTTTCTGCTGTTGTATTTAACAATAGGAAGTGGATTGGGGATGGAAGTCAGCTGCGTGGATTTGGTACATTTGTGAAGGGGCATGACAGCTTGAATAATTGAAACTACCGAATTTGGTGGTTATAACAGCAGCATGTTAGATTTGCTTATTGTTGGATTAAACAATGTAAGGTCATGGGTTATCGATGATCGTCATATGTCGTATCCTGTCTCGTAGCTTATTTCGTTTCAGAGTTGAGTCCTGGGCTCAGACGCTCAGCAGCAAGCTTTGGGATCTGAGTCAAATCTGTGCCACGAATGATTTGGATGGCAGACAGCCTGTGAGATCCAAGAGCGACAGCTTCAAAGTAATGTGCCGATTTATTTTATGCTCTGTACTTAAGCGTCACGTGGAGGTCAGGTGTAAGAAACTGGACTCCTTCATCAATTTCTCCAGACACTTTCTCCATTGTTTTGCAGTAATAAAGTCAGTACACTGTAAATATGGGAAAAACCAAGCCTCAACTGCATTTTGTGTTGCTCATTTGGCGGTTTACTCCCCCTCCGTCAGCCACGTCTTTATCATAACCATCGTTTGGAATAAATTAAATTTAGCTTAACCCTCCCACAGGCACAACGCAATTATTTGTGCCGTCCCCCCTGAAATGAAGGGTAGTTCTTTTGTCTATAAGTGTACACACATGTCAATGAAAGCGTTAAATGACTTAAAATACTTTATTTTACTGAACTGTGGGACTGAATGGTTATAGTGAGACAGCAAATTAGATTGGGATTGGGAATGGTGTATTTCTATCTTAGGATGAAACATCTGCTGTTTAACATATAATTTATTTTCTGAAACACCAGTGTCAAAAGAATATTCGTTTTGGCGACAATGAAAGAAATGGTAGAAGACGGTGGTTCCAAAATTAAGAGTCACTGACCATAAGAAACACATTTCTCATCTGTCAAGTTTTTGGCATGCAGGGTTTATGAATCTTTCTGTATAGTTTGTACAAAGAAAAGTACAGTTCATTTGTCTTTTGCACCAATGAGAAGGGGCAGAGTGTTATTAATGAACAGAAGTTCATTTGTCGTGGATCTAGATTTAATTCTGAGATAATATCAACATGTCAGTACCTGGTCAAATATTTTGTTGTTGTCTTTGCTGCAGTACTTTTATGCCAAGGAGTTTAAAGTGGATATTAAGAATGACAGTTTGCTTGCGGAGGACATCGCTGCCAGCATTCATGACATGACCCAGTTGAAGCTGAGTGCTGTTCGGGTAAGCGGGCATTGAGGTTCCAGTCCGAGGCACATCTGCCAGTTACAGGTTTATCGCTAATGAGCAGTAAGGTTTTTGATTCATATTGTATGTGACGAAACAGAAAAACTTTAAAGTGTTATTAAATGTACTGCACTTAAAAGTTTTAATAATAAGTTCAGTGTAATTATAATTTTCTTCTGACACTCTCTGATCGAAAAATTGCCCCCTAGTGCACTGAGCGTAAAACAGTTCATTGTGCAAAATTGGTTGGGTGACAAATTGCGAATGTCAAGATCTATAACTTATGCCTTGAAATTTTTTTCGATGATTGTAATTTTTCAACATAATTTGGGCGAACATAGTTTATGCTGTGCAATGTCTGCGCTGCTAATTATCTGTCTACAACATACCAGTGTCAGAATCCATAAACATAAGGACCATTAAGAGATGCAGAATCTCAAAAGAAAATGTTTGTAGAACACGTGCACTGCATATTGAAGTGCACAGCCCCACTACTGTTAATAAACAAGTTTGGAAAGGTGTAATCCATATCAGAGAACATGAAGAGATGATTTGACATCATTCTTTGTACCTTTAAAAGAATGAGTAATAAGGGATATGTTCCATTGGGCTGACACATACTAAAAGTTCTTCATTGGTCTTAACAGCGTATTGTCAACAATGCAGAAACACTGGCTCTCAGATTGTATCAAGACAAGCAGGCGACAGAAAATTACACATATTATGGTACTAAAGCATATGACCCAAGTGGCAAACCCTTAGATTTTGTCAAACGTCTGGACTGCACGCCAAACAAACACTTCCATGGTGAGGCTGTGAACACCAGTTTCAGCTCCGTGCACATCCCTACTTATATATATCACAGAGGTGAGTCTGCACGTTAGGTATTTCTTTTTTACTGTAGAGGACAAAGGAAGAAGTTCCTTGAAGCAGTTTATGATGTCTTCTTTGCTTCAAGTGGTTTTATCTTCGCAGGGAGACTAGCAGGAATAATAATAATGTAATTTAATGGTTTATTTCTATCCGTAATTTGCATGAATATAGATTTCAGTTATTTAAGACACAAAATAAAAATGATGGTGTCGTAGTTGAATTTAGGAATTTTTAATTTCTTGTTTCTCAAGAACCACTGATGGCATGACCCAAATATGGAGGAAATTTAACTTATAGCTATACTTCTCTGTACAGTGACTTCTTGCTCACATTTCCCTCACTCTAAGTCTACTTATTTATCTCAGTTCATTACATTGCAAAAAAAATTGTTTTAATTTATTTCTTGATTTTATACTTAGCCCAGGGATGTCACCTGATGTTTGAGGCTAATTTTCTGTAATTTTGTCTGAACACCACAAATTACATTGAAGAAGCCAGTTTTTGGATTAAAAATTGTTGAAGCCTTTACAACTTTAAATTTTTGGTTGGATGAAGGGGGTGTATTGTAACCATAGGTCCATCTGCTTTGTAATAAAATTATATAGATAACAAATGTATTATTCTTGTGTGCAAAATTTGCAGGTGTGTACCAAAATTTAAACCTCTTGCCCTCCCAATTTTCACATAACATAACCTGACATAATTTTGGTATTTTTGAGGTTAGGAATTTAAAAACTATGAACGTGGTATGGCCTCTGATGGCCATGTCTCATGATAATTTGAGTCACTTCCAAAGTTGTTAAGGGACAGAAGTACAAAATAAGGGAAGCAGGTTAAAATATTTATGGAACACTTATTATTATTATTATTATTATTAACAGTCAGAAGTAAACAGTAGCAGCAGATTGATGTTCAACTGTTCACCTGACACCTTAGACATAAGTCTGCGAACTGCTAAGATGACCAGAAGGTTTTGCGCATCCAGTCATTTCCTTGGAAACTGTGTGTGCAATACAGTTCATCTTTCTCGTTGTTTCAGCACCCAAAGTTCTGGAAGCAGTTGAATGGACTGAGGACCTGGATGCAGTCTTCAAGAGTAACTATGAGCTTGATCCGTCGTTGTCTTGGCAGTATTTTTGCAGTGGGTCAGGCATCATGAGGCAGTACCCAGGTGTGCGCAGATGCGTCTGATGTCACATTCCTCTCAGCTTTTCCACATATTTTAAAAGATATTTCAGAAGCAGATGAGGAGGTGTTAAGTCACCTGACCCACCAAAACTTAGATTTCTGGCATGTCTTCACAGTGGTTTGAAGCTGTAGGTACATTCTGCTACCATCATTCTTGTGGTAGCGGACTCCATGTAATGGGTGCTTCTGCATCAGAAATGGGTTCGTTCATCTTGCAGTCAGAGACTGGAAAAATCAGTACGACTATTGTTGTTTGTTTTTGAGTGATGACTGTCTTTTGCTCAGCTGGATCATCACTGATTTGAAGAACTTGGCAGACTTCATCTGCAGAACAGAGTTACTGACAGCACGTATAATTCTTATATTTATTTTCTTAGACCATGGTGGCACCAGAAATTCTTAGTTTTGATTGGTGATTGAGATAGTATGTTTAAACTAAATTTACAAATGAAACAGCCACAGGTGTATACTTGAAGGGTTGTACTCGTATGTGTATAGACTCTGTTAGACATAGCTAATCTTTATGAGTAGTTTAGTGGTGCTATTTGCCATGTTTCCTTAGGTGTGTTCATGGGTGACTCAGAAGTGGACATGTTTGATTGTCGAATGAGGCTGTGGTATATCGACGCGTCGTTGAGTCCGAAAGATGTTATCGTCCTTGTCGATAACTCAGGATCTATGACGGGGATAAGCCAAAAAATTGCCCGGCATCTTGTCAACAGCATCCTGGAAACACTTGGAAGCAATGATTTTGTTAATGTGCTAACATTCAATAACAGCACTGATCGACTTATAAAATGTGCCAGGAACGTTAGTTTGATACAGGTGAGAACGCAGTGTTTAGCACATTTTGTGCTCACAAAGATGAAATAATTTGAAGTTAGAATCTTCAAGGAATTAGCGTGGTTTGCTTTTATTTAAAGGTAAGTGTTCATTGTGCCGTGGAAATTTGAATCACCGTATGCGTAAGAGTAAGGAGATGGTCTGCAAAGATGTGGGAAAGATGACACATGTCTGTTTAAAGATTCTTATTTCAAACATTTTGTATTTAAAATTACAACGATTAAAGTAGAGCGTAATAAAGCAGAATATTTTGAAAATTTTACTCAATGGCAGCTTGCTGTATCAGGTCTTCCAGAGGATCAGTTATCTTCGCTGAGAATTTGTTTTTCTGAGTTTGCTTCCTCCTCTGAACACTAGGTTTCTTGTTTCAGGCGACGTTAGGCAATTTGAGGGAACTGAAAGTGGCAATGAAGGATTTGAAAGGAAAAGGAATTGCAAACTTCAGCTTGGCCCTCACTGAAGCGTTTAAGTTGTACAATACGGTAAGAAATTCTTGTGTAAACCTGGAAAACTTCATTCATATAATTTCATAATGAATTAAATGGCGAGAATTGTAGTCTTCTGGTAATACCTGAAGACTTGGCAAGCAGAGCGAAGGCAAATTGGATCAGTACTTTAATTTGAATAGTAAATATATTTCTTTCTCTTTGCCTCCACCCACATCACAGTTTCTGCATTCCTTCTAGGGTTAAAGAGCTAAGACCCAAGTTCTAGATCTGTCTCCGACTGAAGCGATAATTTTGTTTCATTTGAAACGACATACACATTAAGGATATAGGAATACGTCTTCTTGCAGTCTCTTCAGAACAATTTGGGAGCGCATTGCAACCGAGCCATCATGGTCATCACTGATGGCATGCCTGACATCTACGAGGACATCTTTGATAAATACAACTGGGAAGCTGACATGCGTGTGCGTGTGTTCACATACCTCATTGGCAAAGAACAACCTGAGGCCCATGAGATGAAGTCGATCGCGTGCAATAATAATGGTGAGACGTAGCGTTCAAGTCGTGAGGTGTTACAATGTTCCCCTTGTTCTCTCATTGTTCATCCAGTATTGTATGAGTGCAGAATATATGATCAGCAGGTTATCTATTACATTTAAGTCACACTAATGGCCCCAAAGAATTTAATCTATACAGAGAATGTAGGTGATAACAGTGATATTCCTTGACATTACTGCAGTCTGTTTAGCTGCCTTCACTATAAATTAGAGTTTCAGTGTGGAGAACGTCAGATATGTTTATGTTATAATGTTTGCAGGGCACTTCGCACTGCTCATGACAACGTCCGAGGCGCGGGAGAAAGTAATCGAATACATGCCTATCATGTCTCAACCTCTCGTACTCTTGGGAGAACGACCTGTTAGCTGGACTCCTGTTTACGCTGATCTTGCGGTAAGTTTCAGTTTACTACAAAGCTGTATGTCAAGAGAAATTGAAAGTTGTGAGATTCTGTTCTCTAATCCATTTATGTTTTGAAGATGGCTGTCTTCTGGGTTGTTGTGTCGCATTACTCATTGCCCTGATAATGGAGGCGGCAAGGAACTCTGATACGTTGGTAAACTTCACCCAGATTACAAAGAGCAACAACCCAGAAGACAGCCATCATTTGACTCGCTACCATGAAAACCTCAAATCTTACATTTATGTATTTTCTCAGGTGATTCCCTTTCGCAAAGCCTTTGTTTTTCTGTGTTCTTCCGTAATCATTCCTCTTGTATTTTGTCCACTATTTGCCTTTTTCTGATGTGCAGGTGACACGGCTTTTAATTTTGTGTATTCTTACTCGATTCTTAAATTTGATTTCTATTAACAGGATCCTAACCTTACAGACTTGTGGGTGCATCGTGAGAATAAGGAACAGTCTGATTTGTTGAATTTCTGCTACATCCCATACCAAACAGACAAAGAGACTCCAAAAGACGTTTTCAAGAATTGCTCTGAGAATCCAGAACTCAGGAGGGTGAGTTCTAGAAAGTATTCACTTGGAAGGTTTATGAGACATGAAAAATAGATGTGTTACAAAGTCTGTACCTGAGTAAGGTCATGTGATATTGAATGTTTTCTGTCATATACAGGCTGAAGACGCAACCTGGATCTCTCAGGTGTACCAGTATGTTGTATCTGTCTCAATGCCTGTCTTAGACGTTGGAAAGAACAAGGTGATACCAACGTTAAATGCTTTGTTTTATTGCGTGCTGTCAAGTTTGAGTAGTCTACGACAGGGGTTTCTTTATCCTGTTGTGAATGTCTTCTACTGCAGATTGTAGATGAATGCCATTTAAATTCATAGGTGCTGTATTGTCAACACATGATTAATTTAAGATGTGTGCTTGGATGTTGCGCCATGTAGTCTGGTAGCTGTTTACTGATGCTTCAGAGGTATTTACTGCCTCAATTATCAGGGTGATGAGAGGCAGTAAGCACCTCTGAACCATGGATAAACTTCTTCCAGACTACACGCTGCACAGCGCAACATCCCAGAAGATGGTTATTTTCATATTTGAACCTGAAATGCCACGTATATGTATCACATTATGCATTTAAACTCAGTTTATGTCTTAGATACAGATTTCTTATGTTTCTCCATCTGTCTGTTTCATTTGAAGATTTTCTCAAAACAAAAATAAAGATTTGTATGGTTGCTAGGACAGTTCATGCTTTCCACCGTTCCACTGTTTCAAGTTTTATTGAGTGGTCTCCATGTGTCTGCAGACAAAGACTGCGATGATCGTCGGTGTAGCTGGCACTGATATTCCTGTTGAGGACATCAAGAAACTCCTGCTACCCCACAAGGCGAGTCTGGCTGACACGCCGAATCGATAGCTTTGTTTCGCTTGTATGAATTATTATGAGTTTATGAGGAAATGAACACAGTGGAATGGACTTACTAGCTGGGGTTAAACAAATGCTTTCATGAAATCTGTATTGAAACATTATGCATATGAGAATCCTTAAAACGTGATGGTACTGTTGTAATTTAAAGAAAGTTATAGGTTATGACTGTTTTCTTTCCAGGTGGGAGTAAATGGTTTTGTCTTCATGATAACAAACAATGGTCACGTAGTCATACATCCAAACTGGCGACCAGAGGTAATATTTCATTCACAATCCTTATATAATAAAGAAATGGACATTACTTTGGCTAAACGTAGTTGAGGTGGTCAAGGCTTGCATCAAGCTGTAGCACCAAGGAAAATAAATTACTTTGGTTCTTGGCACCAATTGCATTTAGTGTTCCATTCGAAATTCAATGTTTTTCAGTTTATGGGCATCCTGAAGCCAAATTACAACAGTGTGGACTTAACAGAGGTGGAACATGTGGATGATGACAGCATTGTGCTAGGAAGTTCACATCCTGACATCATTAAGGTGGGTGAAATCAGGTCCAGTGCCAAATATTATGACAGCCTCACACATGAAAATTATACAGAGATGTAACTTCTTGTCTTACGGGAGTCGATTGTTGTGCAGTCGAGTGGAGGGTACTTTGGGGTATTGCACAACATCTATTTAGAGAACGTCTTTACGTTTGCAAATGATGAAAATATTTCTTGACAGAAAAGAGCAGTGTAGAATTGTCACAGCCATAATAAACTAGCATATATTACCACGCATCTCGTATTCTCTATTAAATTTTGTGCATCTGGACTTTGGTCCACCTACCACTGGTATAGCCCAGCATCTTATGCAGTGGGTACTGGGAATCCTTTTCCTGGGGGTGAAGCACAGCTGGGGTGTGGCTCTGACCATTCACCCTCATCTGGAACCGAGATGAAGAATGAATAGGAGCTATATGAGCTTCATTTTATATATTTAATTTTTTGCAGTTAAGACGAGCCATGATTGATCAAGAATATGGTAAGAAAAATCTGCAGCTGAAGTACCATTTTGATCATATGGTGAGTTTATTTATGTATTAGCTGTCATTTTACTGAGAAATGTTTATTAGTTTTGTATATTTTTCCCATTTGACAATGGTCAGAATCAAACACAGGATACTTTTAGCAGAAATCACAGGGACCTTGGCTGACCTCTGTCTTCATTTATATTTATGTTTTGTGTGTTCCCTTGTCCAGGGAACACATCTTTATAAATGTTCCTCTACATTACAAAGAATCCAAAGATACCCAAAAGCCAAATTTACACATACAATAAATATTTTCTTATTTTATGCGTCTCCTTCACAAATAGTGGCGATTTCTTGTGATTGCAGAGGAGAGTCTCTACAGTGAAGCGACAGTACACACATATTGGCGTCAAGGACACACCCTATGCCATAGGAATTGCACTTCCATTTCCATATGGCATGCATATTGCACGTCCGTTGGAAGACAAACTCAAGATTCTTACCACAAGGAGACCAGCACGTAAATGAGACTTCTACCAGATTATATTTACTGGAATTGTTTGCATACCTTCATTTTGCATTCAGAAAGTATCTAATTGACACATGACATTGACATACACCATTAACGTGTTTATTGAATTCAAAATGGTATGTACATATATAGTGATAATTACCAATATAATTATTTTCAGGGACTTTTAAAGACTTGATTAAACAAATATGGGATTTTTCACAAGACAGAAACTGGACAGTTCATCCGAATTGGTAAGTGTCTTGTAATACTGAATTTCTGATATATCATATCGTTACATTTTACTATTTCCTTAACATCTTTGGTTATTACATCTTCTTTTTGTTTCACTTATTTTGATGTTATTTTCCTTATGAATTCCTGGTGGTTAAAGATTAAATACAAATACTTTTTTTTTGCAGTGAAACCCTCAAGAAGAAGTTGGGGTTTCTGTGATCTATATTATGCTAAATTATGGAAGAGGGTAACAGTTTTTGTCTGTAAATGTATTAGTCCTGTGAATATTTAATAGCTTACCAAAGTAATTATTCCATATATTCAGATACTATTGAAATTTACAACTATCTATTTCCATAAAATATCCTTATTGTTAAGGGCGCATGTTAGACTGGTAGAGATGCGTCTGTAATGTGTCATGTTTGAAGTGAGGCAGGATAGCATCTAATTCCATGAAATGATGGTGCTTGTTTTATATCTGTATCAGGCTGACATATTCACATTGCCAGAAATCATGCCCAAACAACTCCTCCTATTTCAGTAAATGTCTGTGATCAGATTGCTGTTGTTTCAGGGTGTACTGTAAGTACCATTATGATACAGTGCATGACTTCAGCAGTTCTGAGGAAGAACTACAGCACTTCCTGGAGGAGCTAATGGATGCAGGGAAAGGGTTTCGGTGCTCACCAGTTTTCCACCTTATACCCCCTGAACAGATGAGTATGTAGTCATTTAGAAGTTGGTTGCATTATACAAGGGAAATTCAAAAAGGGCCCAGAACCAAAAAAAATTATATGCTGTACAAGAAGTGTATGAACTTATATTCAGCGTCTACTACCACCACCACTTTGTAGTTATATCTGCTAGTACTGCTTTCTTCTCTAAGTATGTGCTATCTTGTGATACTTATTTTTAACTTTCACAGACAAAATTTAAATTATAACTTCAGTTCTAGGGATAAGACATGTTGAGTGTTAAAGCTGTTCCATTGTTACAGCAAACATTACACTTGCCATTACCCTGAAACACTGGTACACCTTCAACACTGGGCGTGGCTTATCTGTAAAGATAGCCAATCTGCTTGTTCAGGAACCTCCCCTGTGAAGAAACATTTGAAAGGGAGGAGATTTCATGCCATATAAAACAGCAGACCATGCAAATGATCGGGTATTAATTAGTTTTTTTCCTTTTCCACAGACAGTGCACCATACCCAAAGCTGAAAATGGATTCTTGCTATTGTAAGTTACTTAAGTGTATCTGACATAAAACTGTAGAATAATGCTCAGTATTTTAATTCACTGTTTAATACCATGGGTGCTACCCTGAACAATAAGTTCTGGGAAGCAGTTGTGTCACCTACTTATCTTCAGATGATTTAATCTATGTATCTATGTCTTTGAATTAGTGGGCAGTATCAGTTAACAGTTATATGTTTTACTGATCCAAATTTTTACATAAACTACATTAATTTTTAAACTACAATATTTGCCAGACATAACCTCAAAAGTTTTATGTTGTCATGATGGTAGATGTTAACCAACATGTTTGTGGATCTTACTACCTCTGTCATCAGGTTGATGTCGCCTACAATACACTATATGATGATTATGTTATTTTTGTAATGTTAAAATTTAATATCTTAAAAGGTCCCATTGATTATAGTAATGTATGTATGATTTGTATGTGGTATTTTTGAAGGTGGGTCATATGAAGAGGGGCTTGATTATCAGGTTTTAACATCATCAATCCCATAAGATCAGATTTTATAAACTAAATAGTTGTATAGATGGAATAGTAAATACCTCATATTGGCTTTGACGATTACATGTTTGATGTTGCAGGTGATATGGACCTCTTTAGTTCACTGATACATGATGCCACAGAAACAAGATTTTGGTCCAGCACTGTGTAGGTACAGCTGCGGAAAAGCATCAGTTTCACAGTTTAGGGGTACATCTAGTGCCCCCTGTTACATGCATACCTGAATTCTTTGCCTTGTCCAACACAGTAGAACATAGTAATATTAACTTTTACTGCCATACCCAGGGTGGCAAAGGCTGTTGGTGAGTTGGTAAATTCTTGTATCTAGTGTTGTGCTTTACAAGCAAACATAAGTTGCTGTCTGGAAAAGCCAAGACATGACGTGAATTTAAAAATTTAATAACTTATGATCCTCTACTATTTGTAACATAGATATCTATAATTTATTATTTTCTCCGAAAACTTTTGATTCTAATATGATTCCATGCACGCAAGTTCCATCCTCGTGTACAGAATGTCCAAAAATGTGTGTCGTGAAGTATGATTTATGATGGTTTCTGTGCTTGTGTGAAAAAGAGCGATATATATGAGTTATTTTCACAGGAAACATGATAGAATTATCAGAGCATATGGAGAACATCTTAAGGAATTTGGAGTTTCTTTAATGTTTCTTGCAACTCAGAGCGGCCTCACCAGATGGCAGCTCTTCAAAGGCAATGTAGAGAGCAGGTGAGCTTACATGCTTTGTTTCAGTGTGAATTGTAAGCATGCATGTGTGAATGTGGGTAGGCTGTTCCACCTCAAAACTTATCATAAATAAAAATAAAAATAAAATATAAGAACTAAACAAGAGGGTCCAACAGCTGTTAGTTTATGCCCTTTCTCTTCTTACCTGAAGATCCAAAACATAATTTTATTGAAATACAGACAATGGACAAAGTCCCAAAATACCTCAAAAATAAGACCATTTTATAAAATCAATGTCCATGGAATACAATTTTTGCTCTATTAAACACTTAAAACATAAACTGAAACTTAACTAAACTTCACTTCAAGGCTGCCTAAGTTCTTTCTCAGAGGCAGAAGTTCAAGGCTGTAAAAAACATGCCAGCTAGCGGAGCCTGTCACACCTCACAGGCGAATACGGAGTGTTGAAGTATCGATTATCAGTAGGGAACACTGAATTTGGTTTCGTGAAGTATATACAATAAGGTCTTTAGGCTGCAAGGTGTCATTTGTCATTGCGATAGGTGAATTTATATTTTGTAGGAACTTCAAGGACAGTCATACTCAAACCATAGATGAGGTTTGGTACCAGCAGGCTGTGGATCTGCAGGATGAGACAGGCATTTTTGTCTACTCTGTGCCGTTCTCCAAGAGCCTAGGTGAGTCCTTGGGTCTTGCTTCAGCTGCCATATTAGTTTTAGATTAAACAAAATGATGGCTTGCTTCACTTTTATTCAATGGTTCATCCAAACATAAGGATTGAAATGTGTAATTATGTTCACTTTACATAATTTTCAGAGTACACCAAAGACTTTTGTACACACACTATCATTCAATGCTTTGTAGTTTCAACTACTGACAGGGTCATTAAATAAACCACAAATAAAAAGACTGTCGTGAGCATATTGAACACTGGGGTGTAGATTTGTAGCTGATGATTGTTATTTTGTGTTGGTTTGTGTGCCAGATAAGTGTGAATTTGCCTCGTCACTGAACATAACATGCGACGATACTTTTGTCATTCCCTATCAAATGTAGGAATTCATTACAAAATGTGAAGTATTTCAGCTAGAGCTGTATCTGATGTTTATGTAGAATTTTCAACTTTTTTTACTCTTTGAAAGCCTTTGGATGGAAGGATTTTAATTTCTAGATGTTAGGAAGGCAGTTCATGAGGATGCCATATGTACCAGATTATTTCACAGTTGTGACCAATAGTGGGCTTTTGTATCAGTGATGCTGAATTCGCCTTTCTGTTTTCAGAAAATTTGTTCATTAGGAATACACTTTATTGGAATAAATTCTGTTTTAGTTGCTGTAATTGTTCATGTGTTGGTTTTCCACGAAGACAGAAGGACAATAACTTGAAGTCTATGAGTGTTTCCTTCTCATTTACTTGCACATAATTCTTCTCCCACCTTTCTTTCTCTCAGTGGCATCCAGTGTTACGCCTTGTTATTTTGGTTTTGTGTTTCATTTTTTCTTCTCTTATTTTCTGTATGAATGTTGAAAATTCTGGCTTTTGCAACAGTAGTGCCACGTATCTGTGTTACGCAGGATACAACAGCGATGCTTTAGTGACAGCAAGTTATGCCGTGTTTACTGAGGACAGGAAAGTTCCTTTGGCTGTTGTTGGCTACCAGTTTCAACACCTGAAATTGTTCAATGAGTTTGTCAGCATAACATCCAAGGTAAAACACGTAACACATATGCAGACGCTAAAACATTTTGATTCATTAGTGAGTTCGTCAAAGATCCAGACTGACTACACTTTGAGGAAAATACTGCACATCACCACATCAGTAAGTATCCAGACATTTTTATTCAGGAGGTAATCAGCCTAAATGTAATAATTTCACATCACATAGTATGCAAGAAAGGATTGCGTTGTCTTTCCATTTGTGCTATTGTGTTGCGGTCTTTCATTTCTTAACAGTGTTTATGTAATGGTCATCCAGGCTGAGTTATTCTGCATCCACTGTAAATGTAAGTGCATAAGCAGGCCTTACTGAATCCACAGCGAATTACGATACTCATCACGGTGTCATGTTATGTTTTGTGCCAGGCTACTGGATGTGCCGAATGTACCTGCAGTTCAAATGAGCTGACGTGTTACATAATAGATAACAATGGCTTCGTAGTGGCATCTGAGGCGATCGGCGAAACAGGGAAATTCTTTGGCGAAGTGGAGGGAAATGTGATGAACGCACTGGTCAATGAGAAAGTCTTCAGGAAGGTTCACATAATTGATTATCAGGCCATCTGCATACATGCAAGTGAAGATACAAACCGTGCTTCCTTTCTGACCACAGTGAGTTTAATTTCACATGGTTCTGATATAAGTATACTCAGTTCTACTGAAGGTGTTGGTACAAAATCATGTTAAAGGGAGAATTTTTTACCCTCTGAAGCTAAAGCTAATGTAAATATTATGTGAAGATTCAGATCCTACTGCAAAGAAAACACAGTGCATCTCCATTATAAAGATTAGTTGGTTAATGCTGTTTGAGGAAATAATCGCTGTTTATTTGGAGAAACAAGACCCATAAATACACTCTGTGGGGAAAAATGCAGAGTTGCAGGTTGCTAAAACAAGTGGTAAATATGGTTATTACAGGGCTTTAAAGTGTTACATTTTTTCATCCTGAGTAGTATCCTGTGAATAGAAATTGAAGAATGAAATATGAAACAGTAACTGAATATTATATGAAGCTTTTATGGTGGCTGAATGCAATGAAGTTTTCTCAGGTGGTCAGCCCTGATGACTGAAGCAGTGGATTACAACACCATTCTCACACAGCTGATCCCCCAACAAGACTTCATTGCATAATACTCTGTCTTTTAAAACTGATCTAATGTTTGTGATTACACTTGTTTGCTGCAACAATGTTGTCATTAGTTTTGTTGCTATACCTGAAGCAGCGAATAAATAATTCATTTTTGAATTTCCAGTCTGTATAAATGTTTTAGACCTGAAGTTTACACAGTGGTAATAGAAAATGCTCAATTAACACAGCACACCATTCTTTGTGTACTTAGTGCATTAATGGCAAATTTCTGAAGTGGTATCCATCCTGCTGTTGCAGCCAATGCAGCATCTTATGAAGATATTTCATTGGCTCATAGGAACAGTTGTTTGGCTGTATGCCGAGAGCTGCTTCTGGCATAAGAGTTGGACAAATGGTGAGTACGTATTTCCACAATGACTCGCCTCTATAAAACCCTATGTGTACCTACAGGTATTTGTGTCTTTCTGCTCGGAAATCATCGGATGGGTATTAAAGATATGTTAATGTAAATGATAATATGCATTGTTTTAAACTTTGGTAATAAAAAGTAAATCTTGCAGCTGAAAATCCATATTATAAGATTCTTTCTTGACAGTAATGTTTTGCCCTTGATGGTATAAATTAAATTTTTGTCCATAGCTGCGAAGGAAACGACTACACTATCGCTGGGAGATGCAAAGATCAACCGCACTCGTTTGGAGCCGTGTATCAAGGAGGTTGACCTGTACCAACTGCAAAGTATCTCGTATTCAAACTCCAAGGTCATCAGTTCAAGCTGCTGTTCAGAGTGAGTGAGACAGAATAATGTGTAGTCACTATAATGGAATTTTCCCTCCAAGGATTATTTTATTTAAAATAATATTAAGTTTATAAATTGATTTTGACTGGTTATTGTCATTTGCCACTTATATACTGAAGGTCTCATTTATTCTCAGGAATGCTTGTTCTAAAACAATTGTGTATGTCCTGAAGGAGCCTGCTCTGAAGGGGATTAACCTCCCAACCCTAAGATATAATATATTAATTTTTGCAGATCCAGTCTCAATATTTTTCTGCCAGTCCGTTGCACCAAATGTTGTTTTTCTTCTCAGATATGTTGTGGTGCAGAAGCTTTTCCATAGCAACTTGATTCTTGTGGTGGTGGATACTCTGTGCTCAGACGACATATGGACAGAAGTCAGAATAACTGAAATGGAAGTAAAGGACTCTAACTTATTCTGTCTGAAGGTCGTGAATAATGAGTTGACTCAGAAGCAGCCCAAAACCTGCGTTGGTAAAGGTGCCAAGCGTGAGATGGTAAGACGGCCATACAAATGGTAACTTGTTACAAGATTAGATATAGTTCCAAGCCAACAAATATCTCAGCAAAGTGGATGTCAATTCCCTAGTGCTCGTGACACTATGTCGTCATATCTGACGATTCATCATTCTTAACACAACATCCTACCACTGGTCCCCATTATCAATTATTACATCTTCACGACCTTGTCTGAGATCCACTTTAACAGCATCCCCCAATCTGCACTCAAGTCTTCCTAAAATTTTTACAAATGACATTTCTCGTGTACTTCTTACATGTCTCGAGATGGAAAGCAGGACTCTTTGAGAAGTGATAATAAAAGTAGGCCTAACAAATTTCATTCATATGTCTTACAAAAATAAATATTTTCTTCTTAACAGTTAGAGGCCTTGCTAACCATACGCTGCAATTGTAGTTGAAACAGTGTCTCTAAAAGTTTAATTACTCTAACAATACTACATGAGAATATAAATTATGTAATATTTTTTTGTTCCCTCCTAATTCATCTGTGATTATTTCTGTTGCATTCAGCTACAGGAATCCCGCAGCGCAGAATGTGGGTGTAACTTGCAGTTCCAAGCCAATTTCTTCCTTTCACTGATTTCTTTGTGTCTTGGAGTCCTGAGAACCACAAACTTCTGAAAATTTAACAAGGCAATTGTGTGTACGTACTGAGTGGGTTAATCCATTCTGCCTATATTCATGATATTGATAAACAGTATTAACAAAAACTTACAGGACTAAACCTTTGCAGTTTAACCCTTTAACTGCAAATGTGTAATTTACCGAGTTGCAGTCAGTGTCTAAAGCGGTGTAAAATAACTGCATGCACTTTCTCACCCCTGTTTTATGCAATGAGAAAGAAAAATTTACAGTTTTTGAGCTAAACCAATAATAATTATACGACTGACTGGTTCATAGGTTACCTTGGTTTTTCACTAAATAGTGCAACTGTACAATTTAATGATACTCTTAGAATAGTTTTGTCTTAAGGATAAATTAAGTATTAGCAATTTCGTATTTTTAAAAGGTTCTGACAATGGCGTATTACAGTCAGGATTACTAAATTCTTGGACTCTGTCCATCTGGTATTGGAACGTCGTGTTCTTTTGAATACCGGACGATGGACGGAGTCTAAGAATTTAGTAATTCCGAGAACAGTTTGGTAGTTGAAGGGCTGAATTTTCGACTTGCTCATTTAGAATAGGATCACATAAACATAAAACTAATATTATCAGACCTTATAAAGACAATAACAGGAAGTAAGCTGATCTGTGTACTCAGATTATATCTTTGCTACAGCATTTTACAGATCTTTATTCATAAGGCACATTTTACTGTAGTAACATTTGCTAATCTTTACAGAATACAGCAATTATGCATTTGTTTCTATTACCATTCCTGTAATCCTCAAATAAATGTACGTAATGTACATGTCATTTGAACTTTTGTGTATTTGTCAATGCTGGTCTTGTGGGTTGTAACACCATATGGACTTGTAGGTAGATGTCAGTATTTTGGAGGAACATACTGCCTCTGTCATCAGGGATTAAGATGGAGACAGTATATATATCTGAAATGCTGGTATCTAGCTATAAGTTTTATAATCCAGAAGATAAGCATCAACATCTTTAATGTCATGAGAACCTCAAATCTCATATTTTATGTATTTGTGCATTATGGTTTACATATGATTCAAAGTCTGTGAGTCCATTCAATTTAATTTATTCCGCCATAACTTATGTTTTCTTAAGATTCCTATTAATATCTGAGACTACATTTTCACAGCAGTAAAGATGCTGATAATGGTCTTCTGGGTCGTAATCTCATTGGTGATCATAAACATCATCAGGCTTCAAGTGAACCCTATTTTAATTGTCCGTACATTTCCTGATAACCTGTCGTTATTTTTATTTTTTTTATAAAGTATTTGTATGTTCATGTGGTGTTTATCTTTACATTAGGATGGGGAGCATTAGGGTTAGTTCCTTTGTAAAAGTCTTTGAGCAGTTGCATGGCTCGATCACTTTCCAATCCTCCAATCATTGGGGATGGTTCAGGAAAGAGCAGAGCAGTGTTCAGGACTGATGTATGGCCGCCAAACCGGTCATTTTTACAGCCATACGTGATAGTTGCCACACGCAGGCTGTGTAGGGCTGAAGCACACATGATGCACGGTTCTACTGTCACCCACACCTGTAATGTAGTTACATTAAAATACATGACAATAACTTATCTTTAACTTTATGGGTAATACCACCACTGGACATATGCCTCAGAAAATTATCCCCCCCCCCCCAAACCATTCTAATATATTTTTTTTTGTTCATCCATGTGGCTGGTCACAAAAATTCTGTAATGTTGTAGGATTTTACATTTTCACGGTGGTGAGTATGAGGATGGCTGTCTTTCAGATTGTAGCAAGGACCTCTGAAATTTTGGTAAACTTCTACCAGATGACATGGTGCATCAACCCAGAAGACAGCCATCTACCGTTATGTTGGTCTTATGGGTTGTAACACCACGTGGACTAGGAGGTACGTATCAAAGTCTGCTTCCTTCTGAATCTTTTTCAAGTCATTATTTGTTAATCGGATCTATACACATTTCCATACTTAAATACAAGTGAATTTAATATTAATCTTAGATTACTGATACCCTAAGCATTGTTTCTAAAATCTCACCTTCACTGTGGCCATGACAGAAGCAAATTTATGACCTTTCTCTGTACACCACTGAGCTGCCTGGTCCAAACAATTCAGCTCCGCATGTCTTGTAGCATTGCGTGTTTCATTCACTGTATTGTGGCCTCTGGCAATCACCTCATCATTGTATACAAAAACACACCCAACAGGCACTTCCCCTGCTTCCAAAGCTTCAGCTGCTAAGTCTAAGGCTATATCCATCCACTTGTTTTTCATTTTTCCTAATGGCACTGGAAATGCAATGCCAACCTCTGACATAACCTCACTTTACGCTTTCCTATAAAGACAACGAATTTTTTTAGGAAAGCTGATATGTTTCGGTATATAAGGTTGCATGGAAAACTTAAATACTACGTAAGCAACCTTGCTGTACCACCTGAAAATACTGTTCACGGGTCGATTACCACATCATTATCATAAGTCAGTAAATTTCAGTTGTTAATGAATCTTTCACGTTCATTGTTGGAAAACTGGTCCTTATTCCTTCCTTGCAAGAGTGATTAATGTCAGTTGTTCAGAGATTCATTGCTATTGAAGCTCATCCGTGGCTTCAACAGACCCTCGCCGTTTAGTTATTGATCTGCGGGAGAAAGCAGACATATAATCGAGCACTTTATCTGTGGTAATTGATGACTGTGAAGGATGAAAGACGGCATTTGTAGGCATAAGCATAAGTGTGGGTAACGTTGTTCGTAGATTCAGGGATGGGTGTTAATATTAGGCTGTAGGTCATTCATTGCGAAGTCTGAAGAAGCTGTGAGAGAGAAAACACATGTAAGTGGCGTGGAGTAACACATTAATGCGTAGTAGAAGTCTGAGCATTTTGTCCATGTTACCCAAGACAAGAAAGTATGTTTATCCACAATGTTGGATTTAATTGCGAACCTTTCCAAGGATATATAATCATTTTTGTTGTTGCTGCCAGTGTTCTGTATTGAAGACTCAGTGTACTAATCAAGAAGTACGTGAGCGATATTCTAGCGTCTAGGTAAGACTAGAACAGTTTTTACAGTAACACATGTATATTTAAATATAGGTTATGGTAAAGCAACTGAATTAGTATAAACAACTGAATTTCGTGGCTAACAAGTTTATAATAACGTAAATTTTAAAAAGCACATTGAATATATTATCCCCAAACCAAGTTCAGCATGCTTTAACTTGGGGGGTAGTCACACTATTCTTGAAAGGAAATATTTTAAAATTATTCTGCTTTGCATATGTTCATTTCATGGAGTTGCCAAATGAGTAAATTTAACGGACTGCAAATGAGTATTTTACATTCAAAAGAAAATTATTAGAATGATGGTGGATGCTAAAAGAAGTCTATTGTAGAGAACTATTTAAGAAATTTAATATACTTCCCCTTGAAAGCGAATTATACTGTCATTTGTATGATTCATTGTGGATGACATGGAGAAGTGTTTATATTGTGTGTCAGAACACGCAATATAAACACAATTTTTTTATGCTGGATGCTAACCTCACAAGTTTTCAGAGAAGTACTTCCTATGCTAAAGAGAGGTGCACACATATTTTACATGAGTTTTAAATAATAATACGTTAATAAGACAACATTTTTTAAACTGAACCATTTCTTGTATTTGTTCTTTTCTTAATTTAATTCTGAACCTGATTGCACACTGCCCCTTCATATATTCCGTGACAGTGTTGGTTTGTTGTTTGTACAGTGTGTGTGTAGATACTGTCAGTTTTATAAACGTACAGCGTGTGTGTAGATACTGTCAGTTTTATAAACATTTACTCTGCATCATAAGTGTATGACAGACTGTTAGTTGTGTTCAGGTTTTGAAGTTAACAGTGGATGATATATCACTGATTTTGAGTAATTATTTCAGAAAACGTTCGTCTTTGACTGAGCTTTGTGCTGGGTGAACAAAGCATGCCCCTTCAGGCCAGAAGTGGCTTTATGAATGAGATTGATCAGCCAGTGATAGATGCAAATACTTAATCAGGAAATTTCAGACAGTTTTAACAGTTAGTGATGTGGTATTAAATGGATGTTGTCTCTACATCTGTTCATGGAAATTCTTGATCCAATGGGCAATATAGCTTCATGGTATTACATTCCAGCTGAGGCTGGATATTCTGAATTTCTTTTACATTGGCCATTTCAGCCAGTTGGTGAGATCACACTTAAAATATGCAGTGCCAACATTTATGGTAACAGAAAATTAGTCTTTAATCATTTAGTTTTTCCTGACTACAAAGGTTGATATGATGTTACAAATATCACGTGAATGATTTTCCTTCTTTCGGCCAGACTTGCTGCATGCCCTGCCTACACTCAAACCAGTATGCACTGAAGTTTCTCGCTGTGTAACTTCTAAGTTCCATATATCATTCATGTTAGTACCAAGTATTTTAGTCACTACTTTGGTTTCAAAGACTCTCTGTGTTCTTCCTTCAGCCCACATTTTTCCCTCGTGTATAATGATGATAGTGATTATGAATATGGCTGTCTCCTGGTTGTTGCATCCACCATGTAGTCTCGTCACCCTGATGATGGAGGCAGCAAGGAGCTCTGAAATGTTGGTAAACTTCTAGGAGACTACATGGTGCAACAACCCAGCAGACAGCCATCTTCAACAGGTAAAATGATGATGATGTTCTTCTGGGTTTTGGCACTCTGTAGACATGTCAGTAGTTACTCTGATGATGGAGACGCTATATTTGTCCAAAACATCGGCATCTGCCGACAAGTCTTCATGGTTCTGAAACCCAGAACATCATTGCCCTCACTATTGTGATAAACCTTGATTCTCAATAGGTAACATAATTTTTAATGTTCTACTCGTTAAATTTTGAGAAATGAGGTGTGAAGGTAAAACTATTCTGCACCTTGGAGATTTTTTAAGTTATATTCCTGAAAGTACTTATGTGTGTGGGTATTTCCATAGACTCATACTTGTTAGTCATAAAATTGTTTGCATAATTATTAGTGTGGCTTTTCATTTCTGATTTGTCAATACGTATTGCTGATTTCTGTGTGTGGACATTGTTTGTTCCGGTACTAGCATTAAACATCAATTAGCAAGTCGGTCTTTCAGGACAAAGGGAGAAGACCACATAGACTTCTGAATGTCTTGTGCAAACAGATGGGTTACATCATATGATTATTTTTTATGTTGTTTGATACTTTAAGGATGAGATCGTAGCAGCTTGTGTTAAAATTCAAGTGAGCGTACTAGTGTCTGGTGTCACAGTGGTATATGAATTAGACAGAAATACTGTCATTGTACTATAGACATGGATTTATATGTCAAGAAGTCTGATGAGCGGTATACAGGTATTCTTACACTTTACTGATACATTAGTGCTACTTGCAAGGATGTGTGTGATCTTTGAATATATTAATTGGTTTTATGATGCGGGGGAGGGGGGCACCTGTTGGAAATCTGCCAATTGAAGGACACTGAAGGAGATGGAAGTGTAACATTAATTATTATTGCATAATTTTAAATGTTGTGTGTACTCACTCAGAGGACAGATAAAATTTTATTTTTCAGCTAAATAGGTTATAATACCCATCGTATGGTTAGATCATTAAGAATGATGGATGAATTGAGAAGGATGTGGAAGGAAACAGGAATATCTTGTTTTGAGGTTGTTTCCATTAACTTGCCTGGTGGAACTGATAAAATCCATGGGAAACGGTGGTAGGTGGCCTTTGGGTCAGGATTTTGAACTGGGTACTTTCAAGTACAAAGCAGAGGTGCTAATCGCTAAACCTTAACAAGATAATGGCATTGTTAGATACTTTGATAATCCAGAGAACCTTGACCCATTCATACATAGGTAGCAATGGATTCCTGTGAGCCAATACGTAACCTCGTGTGCAGAAAGTGAAAATGTGTTACACTTATAAGTTGGACACTGCAGCTGTTGTGTGTGTGAAGCTGAAGGCCATACCCAAGTGTATGGCAATTTACCTATGTTGAAATGGATATAAAAATGTCAGTATTGAAGATATGAGCTGGATTGAATTTGACTGCTTATTTATTTGGTTAAGTTAGATAGTTGGTTAGGTAATGAAATATTCCTTTGGGAGAATTGACTTGAACAGCGAACTGAAGAGGAACATAAACAAACTGAGGTGATGAGAATAAAACAGTATAAATTGAATACTAAGTAAGAAGATCAAAAGTTGGGAAAAATGAGATATAAGTCTGTTGTTAATTCTCAGACAAATTGTTTCATGTGTAAGGAAAAATATTTTGGTGAGCTTTGTGCAGCCATGGTTTTGCTGACGTATGATTACGTTTTTATGTTTATTTTTGTCCAGGTTTCATTTTAGAGGTAAGTGAAAGGGTGGGACTTCCAGCTAACAACAGAGATAAGCATGTAATAAATGTCCTTGCCTGAGTAGTGCTATTAGATAAGAATACCTGTTCTCAACAATTATGACGTCAGTTTTTTAAGTTTTGTGTGTGGACGTAATATGTTTTGTGGTTGCTTGTATAATATCCATATACCACAAAAGGCAAGTAGTGTATCATTGTTAGATTTATTTTGATTTGTGTAAGAAATGTTGATGTAGTGTTTTTCGTAAGAACAAGTTGGTATGAACACGTGTATTGTGTTAGAAATTGTTTGAAACTCGATGTATTTATTTAGTTGTAATTTATTTAACGACGCTTTTTCAGTGGACGTTCGGTGGAATCAGATGCATACTTTGCATTATTTTTCGTCATTTTCGTGGTCAAAAAAGGCATAACCGGCCGTCCATCTCGTGAAAAAAAATTCAGGTGTGCCATTTATCGTCTTTCGTTTGTTTTCTTTATGATACAAAACTCTCAAACTGAACCTCAAGGTCGACTGGTTAACACCCCTGCTTCGTATTCGGGAGGTCCCGGGTTAAAATCTGGGCCCGAAAACCGGACGTCTTGACTGGGGTTTTTCGTAGTTTTCCCAAGCAAATGCCGGTATAGTGCCTTAAATCAGGATTCTAGCGCTTCCTTCCACATTCTTTCCAATTCATTGTTCCATTTCATTCCCTCTTTCAACACTGTTTAGTCTCAGCTACTGAAAAAGCATCTTAAAATAAACTATAAATAAATAAATTTATCATCGCCTTCAGTGTTGTGCACAAATGCATTTAAGTGTACATTATGTCATATTTTTGGTGTAGCATTTGTCAGGAATAAAAAAAAATACAAAAGTTCTTCCAGCATTCCATAGGAACATGCTTCTTGTAAAATGCTGGTAATATTTTGTAAGACTTGAGGTTCTCACAGCGGTGAGTATGAAGATTTCCGTCTTCTGGGTTGTTGCGCTGTGTAGTCTGGTAATATTTTGTTTTTATTCCTTCAGGGTCAGCTGTGAACAAGAAGGCAAGAAGTACTTGTGAAATATTTGCTATTTTTGTTTGTTTTTCTTTGCATGGTACTATATATAGATGATTACAATTTTATAAACAGTGATCACCATGGAAACCTCAAGTGTCATTAATGTGTAGTTAAGTTGGTTCAGTTTGATTTGACGTATTGTTGAAATGTGGAGTTTTGTTACCATTACTGATTGTTGCATTGGGAACTTGTATACTGTTCCAGGTGTAATGCAACAAAGTAACATGGAATTTGAATCAACAAGAAGTCTACAGGCTTTCAAGGATATTTTGGTGGATCGATATGGCAGCAGTGACTTTATGTGGATGTCCCAGGATTGGCAGCCTCGTGTAGCCTATTTGCATACAGTCAAGACAAACCCACAGAAAATAAAGCAAGATGTTCTGAAAAGTCCTAGGGTACTGCACGTCATTGAGGAGGTAATGTACAGTGGATTTCTTTTCTTTAAGCTTTCTTAAGAAAAGCTAAGCTGAAGTTGTTATTCTTGTGTGTATGTCTTAATAATTTCAGAAATATGAGTAGATGTACATGAGTCATGGTATGAGTGCCACACAATTTGAAGGCAACTCAGTTGTCAATTTTCCAGTCTCTTCAGTAGGACCCCAAACTTGGTGGGTGGCCTTGTAAACTTCCAAGGTTGGAGTGACACTAGTGTCCTATATTGTGGGCGGTAAAATATTGGTTGATGGTAGGTCGTGAAAAAATAATATAATATTTGTTTTTTTTTTTCTTATGTATATAAGATCGTAGACATTGGATTGACTTGCCTAAACATGATCGTCATCATCATGTTGATCTTGTAGGCATTGGACCGTGTGACGTATTACAATTCTGTTAGTTGTCTTCCCAAGCATCTCATTGCCCTGGGCTTGTATGCTTGCTTTTGTGTTTCGTAATGTATTCAAAGGGCACACAGAAATTTTGTAAACAAGAACATGCATTCCATTGTCCAGCAGTCAGTAAATGTATGTTTTTTTCGAAGTGTGGATAGTCATAATTCTTTTTAATTTCAGATGTTTTTCACTGTTGAAACTTTCTTATTTTGTGTTATGTAAATTTATTCGCATGGTTTTAAAAAAATTTGGAACTAAACAAACATGTGAATGCTGGAATATGACCATGGCAGATGTTTTGAAGTTTCTGTCCATATTTAAAGTCAAGTTGCCGTCAGTGATGTGTTTGGTTTTGTAACACAGACAGGTATTGAAGAAATAGGTTATGAGCTGCCTGAGGGCAGTGCTGGTCACTTGTTATTGTGGATATTTACCTTCAGATTTCGAAATGAAATTTTGAAGCCACCTGAATAAGAGTGAAGTGCTGAAGTAGAACCATGTCTCATGGAGTAAATTGGTTGGCTAATTACGTCTTTAATTTCTTTCATATGTAACATTACAGTTACAGGAGTTTGTAATTTTCATTAAACTAGAAGGTTACTTGGTTTTGGAAATTTATCTGTAATAACGTGATAAAACTCACGAGAAATTTGTTTTCATTAGCATATGATCAGGTTAGGCTAGTCTGTCTGACGACTTGGTTTCAGTCTCAGCCAAGAGATCTTTTCATGATGTTATTTCACTTTTGCATAACCAAATGAATCACAGTATCCTTACCGTTGAAGAATATTTATTCCAGAATATAATCAACATTTCTGACATTGAGTCTGCACCTGTACACCTCCTCACTATCACATTTAGCTTATTCTTACTCAGGGATGCGGCCATTATAGGTTAGGTAACGGAAAAGCGGAGTGAGGTGATGTTTAAGTGGGTCGTGGCTAGCTGTTAGTGGAGTCATGAGGTCGTCGCAGGGATACGGGTGTGCATTCAATCATGATGCATTTTTTAAATGAGCCAGTAATTATTATTGGAGTTGAAGTTTACACAAAGAGAGAGAGAGAGAGAGAGGGAAACTCGAATCACTTTTCTTCTGGCCATTTCTCTGATAAGTTGAATAATAATTTGAAACTGATTGTCTGTGCAGTGGCACTGAAGGGGGACCACTGTCTACCAGGACCAAGCTGCAATTGTTTTTAGCATCACCAACGCTAAGAAAAATGTTCATCTTTTTTTAAAAAATGACATTTTAGTTTGTTTAAATCTGCAAACTCTAATTGGTCAGCCAGATTGGAACTTAGTCCACTTCTTGGTCGAACAACTTGTTAAACTGAGAGCAATTCCTCTCCTATTGGTTAGCCAGAGATGGGCAGAAATGGGGTGTGAGGTAAACCAAAACACCCTCAAAGGAAATTTCCACTAAATTGGGTTGCCAGCCCATGTTCATTGTGAAATATAAATTTTGAAAACCGATGCCCTACATAACTTCGATATCTTAGGGAAACAAACCGGACTTGTCTGGCTACCAGTCACTGGAAAATCATTATCGATTTACGTATCGCAGTACATTCTAGGAGTGTTATGTTGTTTCAGGCAAGCAAGGAACAGAATGTACCAAAAGAGGAGCTGTACAAGACTGTACAGAGAATACTGGATGAGATAGGATATGACCGTCAGCTGCCAGTGATCCGATGGTTAGGGCTGCTTCTTCTCAAAGTTCTGAAGAGAACTTGCTGCAGCTTATGTGTAAATGAGGGCAGTGTTAATAGGGTGAGTTGTAACTGGACTTGTCTGAGAGCCGGGATGACTCGGTCACTGAAGTCCGCAGGTGCTTTGAGGATTGCAGGAATGTTGGGATTTTTGTCTTAACATTGGAGCCACTTCACGTGCTGTCATATGGTTTGTCAACCCATGGACCACATGTAATGTTATATCACTCTGAAAATAAAAAATACAGATGGCTGTCTTCTAGATGAAGTGCTCCAGTACTAGTGTGCTATAGAGCATTGCATCGAAGATGTTTGCAAAAAATACTGCTAACCACGAGAATACTTTATCTTCTTCATCATTGAATTTGCAGTATTTTTACCCCAGTTTTTTGAATAGAAAGCATTGCTTACAAATCAATGTGTGTGTGTGTGTGTGCACGCGCACGCACACGCCTGAGAGTCCTAAGTACTTTAAGAGGAGGCTGGTAGCCCCTCCATAGAAAATATAAAAGATGTCCCACTAGATGGGGGTGAGTGGTCGGCATCACGCCCAGAAAATATACGTCACTGCTTTGATCGTATTCTTGTTATTTATCTAACTGATTTTCAGGTGTTGTCGGTGATGGGTGACAACCCAGTAATATTTGCTCCTAGTCACCGCAGCTATGGAGACTTCGTACTAATGTCCTATCTCTGTTTCCATTACAAGATTGAAATCCCAGCCATTGCAGCTGGCATGGGTAAGCGGAGTCATGTTGTGAATGAGATTGCAGTGGCTAAGTAAAGACAATGTTTTGTGATCAAAATTTAGGATTTTTTAGTCAGCCAAATAACATCAATGCATAAGCAAGACTTTCATGGAAGTGAATTTCAAAATATCATGATAATGGCACAAGAGACTTGGACACATTATTTTTGTTCCTTGCAGATTTTCATTCCATGTGGCTGATGGGGCGCTTGCTTCGAGATAGCTGCGCCTTCTTCATGAGGCGTTCCTTTGGCAGCGATAAGCTATATTGGACTGCGTTCAGCGAATATGTTCAAAAGCTGGTTGTTGACGGAGAGGCGGCTATTGAGTTCTTCATCGAGGGTACCAGAAGTCGAACTGCAAAGTCCCTCATGCCTAAGTTTGGTAAGTTTACAGTCACATCTGTCATATGTGGGTTTAAATCCGTTGCGTACTTGTGCGTTGTTTGGATTTTGAGTGATGTTATAAAATGTGTTGACATTTAACCCTTTTCATTGCCAGTCGTCTTTATAACATAAAGGTTTCACCGTTGAAACATTTACTTTCCTAACTTTAGTGTGTGGGTATATTGAAATATAATTGAAACATTGCCTGAGGCTTGTTGTACGTCTCCTGATCAGTAAAAGTATGTGATTAGTGAGCATAATTGTTATTTTTTTTTTTACAGAATTTGGTATTTAATAATAATAATTTTTAGCAGTGCTGTGATATTTTAGGTGGACTGAAATATTTTATAACACTACTAATTTTCTGTAACAATAGTTTGCTGTTTATAGTATGAATGATTGGACTTACAAGAAAATATACATTTTATATGTCGTGGAAGTTTCTCGCATGTTATGAGTTTAATCATTTATGGAAACATACGCATGGATGGTGTCAGAAAGTAATTGTTATCTGAAGGTGGTGATGGCATGCTGTAACATGTTTGGTGGGGTGACTCATACATGATACAATTTAATTTACTTCATTAATAACTTTTTAACTTAAGCTTTTCTCGGCCAACTTTGTTGAGAATATCGTGTCTTTCCTTTGAATGATGACGTTCAGTCCAACACCAAAAAGCAACTGAAGGGTTAGCATTATACTAAATGCGTTTGATATAATTTTTTTTTTTTTTTAAAGTTTTTGTGCTGAGTTGTATTATACAGGTTGCGTGTGGATGGCCGGTTGGCTTGCTTGCTCGTGATTCATTCATGAGCTGAGCGTTGTTGCAGGGTTCCTATCTATGACTTTGATGCCATTCTTGACGGGCCGTGTGCCTGACATAACCATTGTTCCTATCAACATTAGTTATGATCGCACCCTGGAAGAGGTTTTGTTTGCGTACGAGCTACTAGGGGTACCCAAACCAAAGGAATCCACTTCTGTAAGTTGTCTGGTTGCTTCTTGTAAAATTTCAGGTTCTCTTGGTGGCATATATGAAGATGGCTGTCTTCTGTGTTGTACCACCCTGATGGTAGAGATAGCAGACACCTCTGAAATGTCAGTAAACTTCTACCAGGCTACACATTGCGCAAAAGACAGCCACCTTCATGGTTGCTTCTTGTTAGAAAAAACTAACCAGCCTGTATTCTGGTGAATGCTTTTTAATAACTGTTCACTAATGAACTACCATGGTCCAGGGTCTTCCTTGAGCAGTTTGTACTTATTAAGATGGCCATGCAATTTTCTGTTGTAAAACTTGAAGGTTAATCATTGTGTTCACAAAACGTTAGCAATATCTGCTCATATTTCCATAAGATTCATTTTAATATTATCTTCTCTCTTGTACCCAGGTTTCCTATATTATCTGCTTTTTTGGATATCCAGACATTTGTGTTTATTTCTTGTTTCTTTATTTGTGATGTGTGTCTACCTATTTCTCACTTCTTTGTCAAGTCACCGTTTCAAATTATGGAGATTCTAATTGTACAGTTTTCTTCATCTTCGTGTACTGTATCTTTCTGGTAGCCAAAATATTCCTCTCAGGACTTTGTCCTCAAACAGACTCGGTCCTCGTTTTTCCAGTTTTCATGTGGTGGCTAAAGTGTTTATAGTTTTATGTGTGTGTGTGGGTGTATATTTGTTTAAAGATTTTTAGAGAGTAGACCCTTGTGGGGTCCTGAAGTAAATGGTGTCCTTCATAATTCCAAAACTTGGTCTTCAACTAATTTTGTCATGAATTTAATTTTAATCTATTACTGTTGTTCCTACATGCATGGTGATTTTTTTTGTTCATAAAACCAATTCATTTTCACATAAAATGAAAATGATAAATTTAAATCTTACAAATTTTATGTAAAAAAATTATAAAGTTAAAAGTGACTTTCATATCTCTAATAATTCATTGTGAAATGTTTTTGTTGTTCATTGTCACTTAAAGGTTGAACTAACAGTATTTCGTGTTGGTATGCTGTTAAGTCACTGCCCTGTTGCGACAGATGTTGCATCCCTGTCCTTGGACTCGTTAACAATGTTTGCCTAGCTTCTTCCATTAAGTGAGGTGAATGAATGTGTAGGTGCCCAGCTTGACTTCTCTGCCGGTCTGACGTACTACTTGTTTTGTTTTAACACTGATCAAACATCAGGTATTTGTTTATTTAAACTTTTCATGTGTGTTGAAATGTTTATTCTTCATTCCAGGGATTGATAAAAGCCTTGAATATGCTGAATGAAAGATATGGGAAAGTGTACATGGACTTTGCAGAACCGATATCAGTGAGAGAGCTCAGTCGGTTCGCCGGGTTTCAACGCTCTCTCCCCACTCCAGAATGTCCGCACATTCAGCGCGCTCTGTCAGTTGATGAAGCAGCATTCTGTGTGGAGGTCGCTCATCATGTGGTACAGCAGCAACAGCGCCATTCAGTGATCAGTGCTTTCAACTTGATATCCATCGTCCTCAACAACTCTGTACTGGAGGGCGCTGGCCCACCTCTTTTAAATGAAGTGGTGGCTGACGTTTCATGGCTGAAGTCAGTTATGGAGGTGTTGGGAGCTCTGATTGGCGTACAAGGTGAGTATCTGCACCGTATGGTTTCTTCTCTCACCTTTGATGTCATGCCAAGAAGTTATCATCTTTGACTTATCAAGCAGTTATTTTTGTGTGGCAGTGTTTGTTTGTTTGTTGTGAACATTCTTCATCAGTTGAGGTCACAGTGACCTTTGCATGTGAAATATGTTCATTCCAATAAATTGCATCAGAATAAATGTATATTGTGGTACTTGATATTTGTCGTCATTTGGATTTGACTTGATTAAATAATGTCAGAGTTTGTTGAAATTGTGGTTAGGCATTTAGTATAGTTAGTGATAGTGTTGACATAATTGTCAGTGCTTGGTGTATCTTGTTTACCTTTGATTTATTTTTATGGCCCGTATGTTTACTGCTGTGATGCTGTGTCGTCACTTGGACGCATTAATTCAAGGAGTTGGCTATATATTGTTTGTGAACAATTACTTATCGCCACGAGAACGGCTGTCTTCTGGTTGTTGCGCTATGTAGTCTAGTAGCAGTTTACCAAGCCACCGTGGTCTAGCGGTTAGAACGCTGGCCTTGTAATCCTGGGATCTCGGGTTCGATTCCCGGCGGTGCCCGAATTTATAACTTGTGTTGGGCAAGGCCGTGGTCTAGGCAACACGGAGTTTTCCTCCGTGGCATCCCATTCACACACAGAAGAAGGCAATGGCAAACCACTTCTGGATCATCTGCCAAGAACGTATATGAACAGGTCCCAGTCCGAGAAAAGGATGGAAGGATCCTGTTCATATGGACCTGTCGTCAGACAGAACACTAAATAAAAAATAAGCAGTTTACCAGTGTTTTGGAGGTTCTTGCCCTGATGATTGAGGCAGCAAGCACCTCTGAAACATCAGTAAAATTCTATCAGACTGGATGGCACATCCACCTAGAAGGCAGACATTTTTAGACTTATCTTTGTTCCATTTTATATCCTGCACATGTCCTTATAACACTGGTTTTTAATTTCTACTTGTTTGTTACCTTTTGCGTATTTTTGATAGTCTGTTTTGTTGTTTATGTTTTTAAATGATAAAGAGTCTTTTGCAATAGTTTTCAAGGCCCTGTTCGGGTTTATGATTTCAAATGGTCTACTCTGTTTATCAATTTCGTTTATTAGGATAAATGAATTAGTGTGTTCTGAGCTGGGAAAGTTTGATGACACTGAAATGGCTGAGTCCATTCCTTACAAACAGTGAAGTGAACTTTATTCCAGGTGTTCCTTCAGGCGTGGAGTCGGCAGTGAAGGAAGCCATTGTTGTTCACAAATCTCTAGTTACGCTCACACCAACTAACCATCTGAAGCTGATTAAAGTGCATACTTTTGCTCACAGGGTGGATCCAAAAAAACTGAAAGGTTGGTATAACTGTTTGTCTTTCATTACTCAACATTTTTATTGCTTTAAGGTGGCTGTCTCCCGGGTTGTAGTGCCATGTAGTCTGATGGACATTTACCGACGTCTCGGACGTCCTTGCAGCCTCCGTCATCAGGACCTCTGAAATTTCAGTTAACGTCTACCAGACTACAATCTGGGAGACAGCCATCTTCATGCTCACCACTGTGAGAACCCTAATTCGTACGTAATAAAGAGTTCTTTGCAGATAGCTTCAAGACGTGTATGATGTGCTGGACTTGGTGCATTATTGTATTAAAGAATAAGAGAATTCAAACGTTGCTTTGTTTGCGTTAATATCCATTCTTTACTTTTCTTACTTATTCTTACACATCTGTGGAAATGCTGAAACATACTGCGTGATTGTTTTTCAGGACACTGTCTCTCCGAGCAGACAATGGATGTTGCAATACCCATGGTAATGTTACAGCATTATTTGAATCCATGCCTTCACTACCTGATTGGCCCAGCTATGGTCACACTCATTATGCTGCGTCTCGATGATGCAGTGGACGTCCCAAGAGGTAGGTACCACAGTTCTTGGGGCACCATGAGGCAGAACTCCTCTCCTGTCCAGGCTGACGTCAAGAACACACAACAACAACCGTCCTACCAACTTCTGTAAGCCTGTATCTATATCCTGTCTTTTGCGTCATTATGGATTTTTAAGTCAGGAATGCATCACGCTGTGATTTATATCCTCCCACAAACCCATTTTACTAGCAATGCAATTCTCTGATTTTTAAAAGGAAAAGTTTGATAATTCACTTTCTGTATTTCAGGCTGTTAACACTCTGCCTAATCTGAACTTCTTTTCTTTTTCACGTTAAAGCACTGCAGAGTATTGCTATGATAATTCAGTTTGTGTAATTTTATGCTGCATTACAGATCAACTCTTCCAGAAGTTCAGTTTTCTGAGATCGCTTTTTGCCTATGAATTTGCCTTCTATGCAGCGTGGGCAGAGAAGGTTGGTCGTATATATATTTTTTTTCATGTCTTTAAGATTATTTAACTGAAATGTATTCACTTATTTGCTCTTATGCGTACTACATGCCCCACCCATGCCATCCTCCTTGATTTGATCATCTGGATGATACATTTTAAAGAAAAATAATGTAAATTTTAAGGTGTAAAAGCATGCCAGGTAGTGAAGGAGCTTGACGTGGAGGCTCGGATTTCATCATTTTCTTAAGACGTGACAGAATAAGTGGGTCTTGCACATGCTGGTAGTGACACGCTGACACTCGTCGCTATTTCAGGAGTTTGATGATGCAGTAAAGCAGTTGGAAGTGCTGAGTGTCGTGGAGCCGACCAAGCCTGACCGATTGAAAATGGGCAACCACAGGAAACTGCAGATTCTGCTCTCAAACCTCCTGCAGCCATTTCTGGAGGCCTACCTGTCTGTGTGTCACGTACTTCAACAGGTATGTTGGACCCCAAAGGCTTTCTTAATGCGGTAGCAGAGGGGGAAATTATTGCAGCTGTTCGGTCTGTAACGAGTTGACAGGTCTTCCATTGGTTACCTCAGCCCCGCTATTTCCTTTTACATACTTTACAGCTTATGATTCATGTTCATCATGTTTTTTCCTGATCAACCAGAAAATTTATTAATTATGTTGTGGTTCCTGGGAGACTAAAACATGATTTACAATTTAAGAAATTACCTTTTGCTTCAGGATTGTTATGTTGTGTGTTTTGTGGCGCTGTGAAGTCTTGTCCATGGTTACCAATATTTTAGAAGAGAGATTGTTTTTTGTGGCGCTGTGAAGTCTTGTTCATGGTTACCAATATTTTAGAAGAGAGACTTGCCTCATATTCAGGGTATAAATCTCTTAGACAACGTCATAAACCTAATCTATGCTGCTTTCCAAGTCGACCATTCCTCAGGTTTATAGGAAGCGTTGTTTAATATTGCAGACAGCGCCAAACCCACGGTCTGAGAGTTACCTGCTGAAGTCTACCCAGCAGAGAGTGGAGGAGCTGTTGACGTCTGGCGTTGTCTCTCATCCGTACTCCTTATCCCTCGATATGCATTCTGCTGCATTACAGGCGCTGACATCCATTCAGGCAGTGAAGAGGCTGAAGAGGTGAGTTATTTAGTGATACTTTATCAGCTACACTCATATTTGTTTGGATGCAGAAGTGGTTTGGAGGAATGGGCATTGTTTTCAGGTGAAAAATCCATAGGTATTTAGGTTAGATTGTCATTTGTTTATATTACACTATTGTATGAATTGCTGAGGCTATATAACACTGAGTGTGAATTAGTTAAGCTGCAGAGGCATAATTTGAATTGATTTTAGAGAGTTTAATGTTTTGTTGACAGAAATGGTGTTGTTGAGTACCAGGCGCAAACAAGAAAACTGCTTGAAGTGACTCAGGAACTGGGTAAGTCCAGGTCTTTTCACACATTTACTACGGTGGATTTTCCGTAACCAACTTCACGTAGCGGAGTCCTTGAGAAACTATAGTACAGTCATGTAGTCAAAAAATGTCTTGCGTGTTATAAAACGTGGAAATTTATTGTCAAGTTCACAAGAGCCCATCACCAGTTCCTGTCCTGAGCCAAACCGTGTTCATATTTTTCTCCCACCTGCATCTGTGTGATCCAAGTGGACCCTTCCCTTAGGCTTTCCAACCAACATTTTTTTTACACATTTCGCATCTCTCCCGTGCAAGCTACACGCCTTTCATGTCACATCCTCCCTAAAATTATCCCCGATATTTTCATTCTGTGACGGTCACCCTTGAACTCGTAAAGCATTTGAAAACTAAAATGAAAGAGAAATCTCATAATAGAACTGCCCAAATGTGGCCATACAGTGGACTTTGTCCATCGCCAATATTTGTGTTAAAGCAGGGTTTGTGGGTAAGTTGAAGTTTTTTTATTTCTTGGTACATTTCGTACTCCACATACCTCTGTTATTTCAGGCTTACATTGTGTTTAATTTGTCTGCATCATATGTGAAGGAACATGTTTTAAAATCAGGCGTGTGCCGTCATCTTTTGATGTTCCTCATTCTTCTCCTCTTTGACCGTTCATTTCTGTGTGTGTTTGAAGGACAGTAGGACACGTATTTGAATATTCGCTTTGCTATGGTTAATATGTATTTATTTTTGTTGGTTAACATACTTCTGTCTTTGTTTATTTGCTGAAAAGAGTTTGGGCTTTAATTTTGAAATAAACAAATACGAAGCTCCGTATATCACGTCAGTTTTCTTGTTATATCCATGACAACATAAAATATTTGCAAACGTGATAAAATCTATTACAGACATATCAGATAATCTTTCATTAATTCACTGTGAAGTGGCAAATAACCAGACTGGATTTAATTACTTCTTTTTGAGATTATAAAAGTATGGGGAAAAGGCTTCGCTGTAGCGTAGTTGTCAGATGTCAAGAAACCTTTCAGAAGTTGAATATGTGTTTGGATTCTAGTATCTGTTTCCCTTGCAGAAAATGTAATGTTGCAATCTGAAGAGAAGTTCCACCTGAGTGACCCAGGTTCGAAAGACTTTCTTATTCACGAGAGCCAGCAGGCTAAGCTTTAGCGACAGTCGTTGTATTGCTTTCCTCGTCTTGCATGTGTTGTTTATTCAGTGTGAATACCGTTGTTTTTGTGTAGCTGCGTATACATCAGCGATGCCTTCTTTGTCAGTGTGATTACAGTCGTGATAATCTTAAAACAGAATTGTGGTTCGTAACTTGCGTTAGAGATTGTCGCTAGTCGGGGGACTTAGAGACCCGGTTTTTGAACAGTAGTTGCCAGGACCTTAGATGGGCTCATGAATCGTTGAGATGTTGCGTGTTGTTCGGCGTTACTGGCACACGAACGACTGGAAAATTGGAATGCTTTAGAAATTGCCTTGACAGCTTCAAACCACCACTGACATCATCTTTTATTAGTGCTAAGTGTTTCAGTGTCACAATAAAGTATTGCAACTCAGGTACTAATGTATTGTTTCTGTTTTGTTTTCCCCATTTCAGAACAGATCATTTTAGTGTCTGTTCATTTTGGAAGATAACTTTTGATGTTCTTCTGGATTTGTGATGCCATGTATGCTCACGTGTAGATGCCATTGTTTCAGAGGAACATATTGTTGATATATATATGCCTGCAAGTCAACATGAAATTGCAACCCAGAAGAACATATTGATATCTTCACTGTCATGAGAATTTCTCATGGAAGATAACTGGTTTATATTTTGAGCATTTTTTGAACCAGTGAACCTGACTGACATATTTAACAGGTCACGGCCACAACCCGTACTATTCACAGTCGTGCTACCGTATCTCGTTTGTTGGTACGTAATCAAGTCATAGCATAAAGTTACCAATTGAGAAACAGCTTGCTTTCCGTTGACGTTCTTTTCTGTTCTGGCGCCATGTTGGCGGTGCTGGAGGTTTGCCATCCTGTCACAAATCATATCCTCCCGGTGTTGGGTTGATGCCAGGAATTATAAAGCTTAGGCTGTTAATCGTGTCTTACTTGCGTTCTTTTGTTCCTGAGGGACGAACCAGTTTAATGCATTGAAGGTTGAAGGAAATGCAGATAGAAAATTTATTGCAATGCGAAGGTTTGTATTCCATGTTTCCTTGTCATGATGCATATTTAGAAGTCTTAAAAGGAAATTAGTTCTTTTTGTGTTCAGAAGGCTGTGGGTGGCCTCTGTAAAGTGTAACTTGTCTCTGGTACACTGGCCATTCAGACAGACAGTGTCTGATGGAGAGTTTGTTAAGCTGATGAAGAACCGTCTTCCGCCATCTGAATGCGTTATAATTACCCATCCCACATTGAATTTACATGGGACACGATCTTTGAAATCCTCTTGACGGTTGTTCCAAAGCAAAACTCAAGATCTCTGCCTCATCAGCATGTTTTTTTGTGCAGAAGAAAAGTGGCTGGAAACTGATACCAACAAGTTTTCATCATCACAGTCAATCTGCCTGATTATATTAAGCCCACTGGTGACAACTTCGCCAATTTCTTTGCCGAAACTGTGTGTGGCAATATTTTGGATGCACAGTACATGTTTACATTAAGCATTTTTCAGATCGTCCTTGTTTTTCCAATCATAAAACAGACAACTTAAGCTTTATATAAATGATTGAGTTTCATGACATCGCTGATGCATCATAATTTTGTCTGTATGATTCATATTCAGTAAGAATGGCTCTCATCAACTAGAAAAATATAATAAAAAATGTAAGTAATCATAAGTACTAGCATTGTGCTTGGTTTCTCTTTTATTTTAATCATTGCATACAGACTTATAAGTCTGAAGTATCTAGGCATCTGAGTGGTGTCTAAGCATAGGTAATTTCAAGGTGGAAAGGCGTCCGTGTCGCAAGTGTGCAGTATAGTTCATGCTAATGTGAACAGACACTTAACAAGTATGTGAAAGATGTATTACTGCATACCACAGGAAGCTTTCAAGATTCTAGTGCATCAGAACATGTACAGGCATGCCATCTGTTAATCACTAGATATCACAATGAACAAGCTCTTTTGAGATGTTAGGTTCTCGTGGTGATGAGCATGATGATGCCTTGCTGTCTTCTGGGTTGTTGATCCATGTAGTCTGGTCATCAGGCCCTAGTTATGGAGACAGAAACCACCTCTTGACACCATAAACTTATATCAGACCACTTGCAACAACTCAGAAAGGACGGTCATCTAAAAGCTCTGTTGGTAACATCGAAATTACGTAATGACATGTGATATATTGGTATAAGATGGCTCTGGCAAAATTAACCTCTCGCCCACCAAAAACGTACTAATTTATTGACGTTTATAAAAAAAATCGGACTATTTACCACCAAGATACTATAATCTCTGCACATATAACATGAGTGGTCACGGAAGTTAATTCTATACGTCACAAATTCAACGAATTTATGAACATATTCTTATCAATATCGATTAGTGTACAAATAATCGAAACCGAGATTGCCTATTGGTCATTTTGATGTATTGTGCAGGTTGTGTGATTGCTGTTGTATACGTTTTGCAAAAGTGAACTTGCTGCTGAATATATTAGTTTTATGTAGTAGGCCGACTGTGTAATACTATTTTCGTGTATGTTATATTGCGATAAAGTATATTGTATTATATTGCGATAAATATTGAAGTGATACCGGACAGTGGTGGTAAGCAGGTAATTGAACTGACGCTTGGGAGAGAAGGAGAACCATGTATTTGTGTGACCTGCAGGCCAGTTTTTCTGGTAAGTGGAAACAGACTTTATTATTAGTATATGACATCGAGGTGACTTGAGTTTGTAGAATGGATTTAGCTATATGGTCTCTAATATAGATTCACAAAATATGTCCCACTTTCAAATGAAATGTTAACGTGTTTCATGTATAAGTAATTGCTTCAATTCGTCGATTAGCATTTAGACGAGAGTTTACTCAGGTTACTTTACTTTCGTTACAAAATAGTTTCGTCCGATTTCATTTAAGATGAGTGAAGATAGAAGCTGAATAGTTGAGCATTGAAATACAAAATTTGGCTTTCGAATGAAATGCTCGTATTGTCTCCTCCCAATAGCCTCAAACTGAGTTCAGCGGAACGTTGTAGATTTCTGCATAAATCAAAATAATTATTTGAAATCCATCTCAGAAGCTATCATATTTAAAGAATGAAATTAATAATACGGCAGTAATTGAACGCATTAAATTTTTAAGATGTAACTGGACAGTCAAAATGGAAAGAAATGTGTACACTGCTGGAATAGGATGTGTAATTGGTAACTTAAGTAATTTATATTTTGTATAGGTTATGTTATTGTTTTCGATACACAGCAGCTTTGCAATACGATGAACATATCTGTAGCCAGACTCGGGGTGATGTGCAAAGTAACTGAAGCCTGTGTATAATTTATTGCGCTTACCGAAATGTTTTTGTGAACTTTAATGCTCATTAAAAACATGTGTACAAACGTAAATGAAAATCAAAAGGCGAAAACGAACTTAATTTATGAATACACACATTTATAACTTTACCTACATGATTTGTTTTGCCGCGAGATAATTATATTTGAGTGTGACGCCATGTGGAAAATGTTAGGGGACATTCAACCACGCTTAACGTAAAACAAATTAATCATTGTAATGTAATATAACATGCCTACAAATTTGTGTTTAACACATAAATACGAAAGTGTAAGTAAATATGTATACCAATAAAAACTTTCGTCAGTACAGCCACGCGCATGAGCAGTGATGATATCTGTGGGTACGCCATGACGTCATGCGAGTAATGAACCCCCTAATACATTCAGTGACAAATTGTTGATGAAAAGTTTCTAAAAAATTATTTAAAAATCGATATTTTGCGTTAGGCGTAATATCTTTGTGATGAAATGGGTGTTTTGCAGTAACGCGAAGATATGCAAGGCTTTTGTATGTTTGCAGTTTGGCAGCATTTGGTGTATGTAACACAGATTAGTCCAGTTTACTTCATAAGAAAATTCTTTCGTAAGAATCGTCTGAAAAAATGCCTTCAGAATTTTTCTCTAGTTTTTTTTTTAAAATACGTAAGGCGGATTTGTTTTGTTTAATGAAAAATTATTCCATCGCTAATTCAATAATAAAATAATTTTAAACTGTTAGACTAAAGCAAATTGTGATGTAGGCTTGTCACTTTCAGAAGCCATTGTGTTCGACTCTCGGCTGTGGACTGTGAACGCTCACTAGTAGCTCATTGATTTGCGTTCAGAATCTCAAAGCTAAAGCTAGCATAGATAATACTTCGAATTACTTTTGATCTCTTAATTTCTCATCTCTACCTGCTACCCTATACCTCATTTAACACTATTTATTGACAACAGCGTTGTTAACACACGAAGGTGGAGACACGAGAATAGGCTTAACATGCCGGTGTGAGGTGCCACATCTGGGGCTGGCAGCCAGCACGCGGAAGTCGCTCTAATGGCCCGTCCGTCGCTTTCACTCGCTGACTTTGTGCTTACTAATTGGCCGCCAAGAGTCGAAGTTCTTCGTTTGTTTACACACGAACCCACAGTCGTGGCCATTAAAGAGATGTAGGTATTGCACGCCTCAAGACGTATCTCATGGCTGCACGTCGGGAAACTTTTTTGATGGCTTCGTGCTGTTTCCCCTGCAGGCGATATCGGAATAGTGTTTTAAAATTGGCCACGGCCGCTTCTTTCAGCTCGTCTTCCTATCAATTAATCCATCCATCTCGTAGCATCTCACTCACGATTGAGATCAAAGCCTTTGTTCCTTTATGTCCGCACTGTGCTTAAAGGTACCACATTCATAGTAATAAAGATTCTTGCTACTAGATGGCAGGAGCTTCCATTCCTCTGTCATGACCCTTCATCCGCACAAAACATTTCTTCACGTCGCTTGTGATCTTTGTCTGGAATTGCTTTCGAAATCAAGCTTAAAACGGAATTCTGATATTTTCTTGACACTACACTGATTTTAAGAGTCCTGAAACCTGGGTATTAGCGATACATTGTTCTGAGGTTGCGCTAACCTTAACCTTTTGTGTTCAGCCATGGCTCAACACGATAGTCCACTTTGCCGTGCTGTTCATCTGCTGTGTCATGCCCAGAAGAAACGTTTATTCCGCAGTTCGGTTGATTCGGAATGAATTCTCTACCAAACAAGTGCTTCAGAGAACATGCCCCGTAGCTCAACCCCAGTAGTTGATACTGCTTCGTTTAATAACCTAAAATCAAGAATCATTTGCTGTAATAGCCCTGTGTATGTATACGTCGTCTCGAACCTTAAAATGCGCTGTGTTTTTGTTTTGTTTTCCTTGTGTGCCTGTCCTTTGCTTCGTACACTCGAAGGCGGCTTGGTTGGCGCACTGTGCACCAGATGTCAGTATCGATCAGAGAGGGAGTGCTCAGGAAAGCAAACACAATGCATCATGCGACAGACGGAGCTCTGTAGTATCAACTGTAACCAGACGAGAAATAATTGACTACATTTATCACGCGCCCCGGACACGGGATGAAGAAATGGCGATAAAACCGCGCGATGTCATCTCACGTGAGCATGACCGTGCCAAATCTCGTCCCAGTTCATTTTGCTCCCGCGGAAAATGTCGGGAGAGTACTTTTAAGTAGGCCACGACAGATTCATTCCAAATGCTAATTAACATATTTTTTCGATGTCATCTCACGTGAGCAGTCGAACAATTTACACGCAGGATTCAAATCCGATGTTTTTATGACGTCAGTGATGGTATTTCGAAATTTTCAGATCCCCCCCCCCTAAAGACGTTCACTGATAATTAGCGATGTTCTATTTTGATGTTGAGTGTCGCAGCCGATGAAACTTTAATCAGAAGGAAATTAAATTTATGAATTACGCTATGGCTTGATTTTGTAATTGGTTTCGTCGTTTCGTACTGCAAAATACATTTTGATGCACATAAATAAAAGACAGTCACCCGCGGATAACAATAACTGGTAGCCTACTTTACAGGAAGACTTATCTGAATTTCAGGACACTAAAGTTAATGGGGAATGGTAGGATTCTGACTGTCTTTTAGGCTAACTATTTTAATATTCGCGTTTGTTACTAGAAGTTGTTGTTATGGTGTCACGAAACGTCGGATGCGTCTCGCCTGTCGCGACCTCCCTACCAAAGTCGTCTGTGGTGGTCACTCATGGTGAGATGAAATAATTTAATAATCTCTCCAGGGGTTTCGGTTTCGTGGCAACCGTGAAACCTCGCGTTGTTAAGGAAAAGTCAACTAATGGTTGGTTGAACGCCCTTTTAAGAATAATATTTGGACTGGCGAGGTATTGATAAGTTGACTTTATTGATTATCTATCGAGGGAGAACACGGATTTGTTCGGGCATTGATAATATTGGCAAACACACAGGTCGGTGGTAATTTGGACCGCAGGACAGGACAGGACAGGACGAAATGCGTGCCAGTGTGAACCAGTCTGCTGTTGACCTCTGAGACCTTTTTAAAACAGGGAACGCGTTTGCTGCAGTCTACAAGTCGTGAGCGCAGGCCTAATGATTAGGCCTCGACGAGAATGTATGCGCGTGAGAGGCAGATGAGGAAATAATACGTCACGAGGAAATTAACGTCACAGTGATAAAACCGAGGAGGATATGATGGACTGGACGTGTAGCAATGAACGTAGAAAGCGTCTGTCGCAGAGCTTGACGGGAAAACACTATTTTGGACAAATAATCTGTTATTTTCGAATGTTTTGCCGTGTAGTCTGGTAGATATTGATCGACGTTTCAGTGGGTATTACTGCATCCATCATCAGGGTGACTCGTCGTTGCCATGACAAAGTGAAATATCACCAAGTTGGTTGTGTTATTCGGGTCTTAAACCTCGTCTCTGAAATTGAGGGAAGAATATTGGAGAATGTTTCGACTTTCAATTCTGTCTCCTCTGTACTGTAGAAATGTGCTCTTTTAACCTTGTAGCGGGTTTTGGATTTCTTGGTCCTGTAACAGGTGATAACTAACGTTTCGGAAGGACGAGTCGCTCCCATCTTCAGGACACTTAGTCGATATACTTATCTGAAACCTTGGTGTCCTACACGTCGTTAAAGAGTCTTCGTTCGCGACGCTGGGTGAGTTTGCCCGTGGCATTGTTTGTTAACAGCGAGTGCCCTGATGTTTGCAGCAGCCATTAGGAATCTTTTGGCAAGTACAGTAACGGTAATTGAAGGCTGTGCCGTGACAGTTACCCGTAATGCGTTGTTTACCTCCCGAATTTACTCCACTTAGTAAGTTCTTACTCTACTTTGTCCGCTGTAGAAGAGTCTCTCCCAAGTCTTTGTTGCTCGTAACAGAGTGGTCAGATTTATTGTGAAACTTGTTTTGAAATTACCACCCGAATTCCTTGCAAATACTGACATCATGAAGGGGGTGGCAGCTGAACTGTAATTTATTCAAAGGTTCTGAAGGACCCCGTAGTGACGTAACGTGTGTTGGAATATTTTAATAATTTGTTTATATTTGTAAGTAATATGTCTGACGTCACCAATTGTAGATTAACCAAAGCTGTGGAGTCGGTACTAAAACCTCTGACTCCTTTATAAAAGCTCAATATGTATTAGTAATGGTAAATGGCACCATAAGAGATTTGATCACCACCACGTGAATCATCAGTCCACTTTTTATATTTATAACCTAAATTTTAGTGTAAGTCTAATGGTTATTGCAGAAATCGGTTGCCTTGTGGACAGTTTGTAATCTTAAGGTTCCG